CCTAGCAAAGACGTGCCAGATGGGTATGACTGCAATCTTATGCACTAGGAGCAAGTCCCATTGAAATAAATATTACTTTTGAATAAGCACTGATAGGATCAGGCTACACAAGCAGCCCTTGGGAAGCTTACAAGCAGTTCTTAAGAGAGGCAGCCACTCCCTGTTGCTTGTCTTCTGCATGGTATTCAGAGAGGTATACTTTATCTGAACATGGAAGGTCCATTTATGCACCGATCCTATCCATACTTTCAAGGGACCAAGCAGCACTGAGGTCAATGTGACCTACTTCTGAATAAATATGCATACAGGCTTGCATTGTCAAAAGTCACCTGTATACTTCAGGATGTCTCCAACCTTATATTCAATTATGGTTCCTTGATTCTCATTTTCACTTGTTTTAATTGAGCCAAACACAAAGTCAGGCATCCCATTGGAGCAGACGCAGCTCAAGAGAGCCCTTTTCTGGGGGGGGGGTGCTCTCTCTAGCAATGGCTTATTGATCATTCCATGGTCCACATATGTGATAGTAACTTTTCAATGCAATCACAACCCACTTACACCTACACGAGGGTAAAGTCAGTTGGTTTGATCCTGCTGAAACCAGTGTATGGAGCTCAGTAGTATGGATGCCGGTTTGTGGTTCTGAGCTGTTGGTTTTGGTGAGGGGTTGTTTTATTGTAGCTAATTATTCACATTGGACTGCACAAAGAAAAGAGAACATAAATATTTAAAATAAAATAAAAATAAAAGTCCCAGAAATTTCAATGGGAGAGATTCAAGCAGATGGTTACTTCTCTTCACAAAACAGAAAATGTGTAGGATGCAACATAGCTGTTTGAGGAGGAACTGCTTCCTTTCCTGTGCTGCAGAGTTCATCAACCTTGGAGATGAGAGCTAAGAATAGAATGAAAGGGCTCCCTGAGCAAGTGCAGAATTCACAAAGGAAAGAGAGCCTATGCTCTTCAATGGCTGTGGCGGGTGTGTGGGCCTTCAAGATTAGACCGCAGCGTTTCCAAATGAATATTGGTTCAACTTCACTCCAACAACACTTTTTCTAAAAATTAAGCACCATTCCAATTCCTCATCAAAATGGATTTTTGGGGGGGAGGGGAATCCATATTTGGATAATATTACAGTGGAATTCTGTACAGCCTATGCAAAAGCGAGCCCCATTGAGTTTAATGGGACTTAAAAAGGTAAAGTGACCCCTGACCATTAGGTCCAGTCGTGGCCGACTCTGGGGTTGCGGCGCTCATCTCGCTTTACTGGCCAAGGGAGCTGGCGTACAGCTTCTGGGTCATGTGGCCAGCATGACTAAGCCGCTTCTGGCGAACCAGAGCAGTGCACGGAAACACCATTTACCTTCCCACCAGAGCGGTACCTATTTATCTACTTGCACTTTGACGTTCTTTTGAACTGCTAGGTTGGCAGGAGCTGGGACTGAGCAATGGGAACTCACCCCGTCGTGGGGATTCGAACTGCCGACCTTCTGATTGGCAAGTCCTAGGCTCTGTGGTTTAACCCACAGCGCCACCTGTGTCCCATTAATGGGATTTACTCCCTTGTAAGTGAGTATGGAATGCCACCTTAGTATTTATACAGCATTTTTAGAATGTTCAATGAACTTTCCTTTCCTTAACTAAGTAATTCTTCTTAACAACCTTGTAAGGTAGGCCAGGGACATTTCTGGCTCATGGCTTCTCCCCTTGGGCATCACAGTATTCTAGCTCTCTTGACCACCATATTTTACTCTGCCAGCATCCTAACCTGCAGAGGAGATACACTTCTCCAGATTCTAGCCAAATTAGATCCTAGACACTCAGTGAATGCAAAAGTCTGAAGAAACTGTTGCCCTTTTATGCAAGCAGAGCCACCGAATGAAACAGATTCATTCCAAGACATAAACACCTCATTTCAGACACTCGTGCCGTTAACGTTTCTGCCCGAGTTTATGTAGCATGTTTTTTTCCTGGCTGTGGTTGTACGTGGCCGTGGTGGCGGCTGATTGATGTTTCATGGGCATATTGTATTGCTGTTATTTCTGCAAGGTGCTTTGGGTGCTACGGCTGGGAAGCAGCATAAACATTAGCACAATAAATAAATACATAAGCGAGCAAGGGCTCTGCTGGGTCAGATCAGCTCATTTCTAACCGTGGCTGGCTAGGGACCTCTCGGCATCCCACAAGCAGAAACAGCATGAAGGTGGTGTCAACACCCCGTTTGACACCCCTGCCCCACCAGCAATGGTTTAAGGTAGCCATCCTGGCTGTTAGCCTGTTGACAGGTCTCTTCTGTGTGAATTTCCCCGTCCCCTTTTAAAACCACCTTAACAGGAAGCATCGCCACCAAAAGTCAACTCTGCCCACAAGTGAAGTGCAGTACGTACTTTCTTTTTGTCTGTTCACTGGGTGAAAACCAATGAACACACACAATTCGAGTGCTGTGTGAGAGAAAATATTCCATAACCTCTCTCCACAGCATTGATGATTTTGCAAAGTGAAATCTATGGGCTACTTTTAAAATGAGGCTGCATTTTAATCTGTATTTTAACCTGTATTTTAAATTGTGTTGTTTTCCCCCCAGTATGTTTTTACTGTAATTTTACTGGTGTTAGCTGCCCTGAGCCCGGCTCTGGCCGGGGAGGGCGGGGTATAAATAATAATAATAATAATAATAATAATAATAATAATAATACACCCATCCCTTTTATTTAAACTCAAACTAATCATCTACATTTCAAGGAAAGGCTCCAGAGCTTTCAATGAATCCTCAGCCAGCATTCACTAGACATTGGCTAGGAGTCCTCCGTTGACTGACTGGGATTTGACGGGCTCCTATTAAGCAGCATTCTCAAAGGGGGGAGGTGAAAAATACTTGCTTACTTCCCTCTACCATGCTTTCTCTCCTGGAGGGAAAAAGAGGAGGAATAGCTATTGCAAGTTGATTGCGAGTGCCCCCCCCCCACCTTTTTGGTCCTCAGCAATTGCAGCTGTATATGCAAAGCAGTCCACTGCCATTGTCAAAAGACCTGGTGAATTAATGGGGATACAGCCGAGCGGTACAATACTACTATACATGTCTGTTCAAAAGTACCTCCCATTGAGTACGATGAGTCTTATTCTCAGGTAAAGGATTGCAGCCAAATACTGCAATGCTAACCCCGCAATTCGGGGCCTCTGATCCAGCCAAATCAATCAAATCCCCCCCGCCCAAATAAAGCCCCACTGATTTTTGGCAGTCGCAAGAAAGAAAAATGAAAGTTCACACAGTGAACGCTGTGATGGAGATGCAACCTGCCCCCTTGTTGGTCATCAGTTCAATTTTTTGACCAGCAGAGAAGATCCCCTAACCCCTCCCCCGCAGCTGATCTGCAGGGATCCCTTGAGGAGAGGTGTGTGTATACAAGCCTGCCTGCCACGGCCAGCGGCCCCTGGATGGTTGGCCGAAGGTGCATGTGGTCCTGGAGCCCAAAAATGTCAACCCCCCCTCCCCTGCAATGAGATGAAAGTCCCATTGAACAAAGGCAGACTTACTTCAAAGTAAATGCACGTGAGGATCAACCCGCTTGCCTCACTTTCCTGAGAGTGCTGGTGCACAGGAGCCCTCCAAACTGCCAACATCCATTGCAGGATTCCTACCCACTGGAGGGAATGAAATAACTGGTAGGCGTACACATTATTCCTTCGACGCACATTCTTTGCCCTCGAAGAATTCTGGGCGCTGCAGTTTCCCCCTGGACTCAGAGAGTTACAAGCCCCAGCAACCAGTAGCAAATGACAGCGCTCAGAATTCTTCGAGGGCAAAGAATGTGCCTCGACTTTTGCTTTAAACGTCTAGCATCCCTGTAGTCTTACAAAAGTGTCACAGTGCTCAAGCGTGGTGAAACGCAGCGGGCGAATTAGGATTTCCTGTTAAATGAGCAAAAGAAGGCAAACCCGGGTTTGCTGCCGGCCGCGGGATTTGCTGTCCAGCAAAGGCCCAGATGGCCAAATTCCAAGGCACCGACCCGCCACGAGAACAGGGCCGCCGCGCCCCCCGGGCAGTGCGCAAAGCCGTTCGCCTTGCGCGCCGTCGGGCCGCCTTCCCTTGTGTCCCTTGGGCGCCTCCCGGCTGCGTTCCTTCTGCCGAGGCGGGGAAAGACCTGGCATCCGGGCACCTCCCCGCGGATGACACCTCCCGGCTCCTGCCCTGGGCCAGGCCCCTCCCTCGGCCACCCCTCTCGGCAAAGCCCCGTCGGTCTGCGGCGCCCCCGGCATTCTCAAGAGAGGCTGCTCGGGCAAGCTGCGTCTCCGCCCGTCCCTTTAAGGCACAGCAGCTACAAGGGAGTGCCGGCTGCCCAGGTGCGCAGCGAGCGGCAGGAGGAGGAGGCACAAAAGCGCATCATCCCGGCCGGGAGTCACCCTCTGCTTGGGGGGGGGGGCTGGGAGGGAAAAGGCGCTTGCATCTCTCCGCGGGAGGGAGCATTAAGTGATACCCGAAAGCGCACCCCGGCTGCTCAGGAGGACACTAGGCGCGCACCAGCTCCGGGGCAGCCCAGTCTTCTGCGCGGCTGTCTCCTCTCCGGCGCCCAAGTCCCACTCTGCCCGGACTTGGGTGGCTCTCTGGGCGGTGGGGCCCCGATCCCAGTCTCCCGACTGCCGGCGCTGCGTTGTTTCCGCTCGGTTCCAACCGCACGTCCAAGGCAAGCTCTGATCACCGACGCCACCCGCGGTAACAGCGGCCCGCTCCGTTCCAAGGGCGCCAGACGCCGCCGATCCAACCTACCCTAACTCACGTCTCCAAGGATCGCTCTCCAGCCTTGCCCGCGAGTTTCCCGGCGTCGGCACCTGAGCCCTTCGGACTCCAAAGCCGCCTGGACCCCTGATTGCCCGCAGCCACCGAGGGAGCCTTGGAGACCCTCCGTCGGAAGGCAGCCGGGAGCAGCGAGGCTGGCGCGTCCGCATCGCCAAGGCTGCCCGTCGCTTCCTTGGGACCTGCTGCCCCGCCGTCGGTGGCAGGGCCAGAGCCTGGGATGACAGCCGAGAGCCCCCAGCCGTCGACGTGCGCCGCGGGCCAGGCCGACTCCGAAGGCGGCTCGGCGTCCAGGCTCGCCGCTCTCGTTAAGGTGGAGCCGTCGGCGCACGGGGAGGCTTTGGAGCCGGAGCCGTCGGAAGAAGAAGCGGCGGCGGCGGCGGCAGGGGGAGAAGGCCCGCGTCCCGGCGGCCGTCGCAGGAAGCGCCCGGTGCAGCGCGGCAAGCCCCCGTACAGCTACATCGCGCTCATCGCCATGGCCATCGCGCACGCCCCGGAGAGGCGCCTGACGCTGGGCGGCATCTACCGCTTCATCACCGAGCGCTTCCCCTTCTACCGCGACGGGCCGCGCAAGTGGCAGAACAGCATCCGCCACAACCTGACCCTCAACGACTGCTTCGTCAAGGTGCCCCGCGAGCCCGGGCGGCCGGGCAAAGGCAGCTACTGGGCGCTAGACCCGCACGCCCGGGACATGTTCGAGAGCGGCAGCTTCTTGCGGCGCAGGAAGCGCTTCAAGCGCAGCGACTTGTCCACCTACCCGGCCTACATGCACGAGGCGCAGGCCCAGCCCGTCGGGCCGGCCCTCAACGCGCCCTACGCGGCCCCCGCCGCCCTCTGCTACCCGTCGCAGCCGCCCCTCTTCAGCCTGGGCCCGCTCATGGCGCAGCCCAGCCCGGAGCTGGCCCACCAGCAGCACAGCCCCGACGTCACCCCTTCCCCTGGCAGTGCTTGCTCCTTCGCAGGCACCGCCGCCTACCCCAGTCAGGGCTGCGCGGCGGGGCCTGGCCTGCACAGGCCCCACAACGCCATGCCTTACTCCTACCCGCTCCCCAGCACCCAGCAGCTGCAGGTGAACCAAGGCACCTACTCCCAGAGCGGCGGCGGTGGCGGCAGCCACCTGTTTGGGGCCTCTGCCCGCCTAGGGATGCCCACCTCGCCCACCCTGGGGAACGACGCTATGGATTTCTATGGCAGGATGTCTCCCAGCTCCTACGGTTCTTTGGCTCATGGCTACAATTCCGGCGGGCAGCTTGGTAGTCCGGGTGCCTACCTGCGCCATGCGGCCTATTCCAGCAACATGGAGAGGTTTGTTTCTGCCATCTGAATCCGAGAATGGACTTGGTTTGGTGGAAGGCAGTGAGATCTGCAGCTGTGCCCGCCTGTTGGTGGCCTGCATTATCCTATCCTAATGCTTCATTGCCGTGAGCGCATTACTTTGCGCTGTGGGGTGGGCTGTTGTGGTGTGCGTCTGCCCAGTGTGACAGCACCCAGTGAGTAAAGGGCCTCAGAGGATCCGGACAATGGAGAGAGACGTGGTCTGCAGTTCTTGGCCGCCAGAAAGACCTAGGATCTGTGAAGCTTATGCACTATAGGATAGGAAGCTAGTGATATTGGTGGGGCCTGTGTTGTGTTTACCAAGAAGGCAGAGGGAAACCTTTGTAGGCAAGACTGTGAAGTGTGAAAATACAACTTCTTCAAGCCAAAGGAAATGTAAAATATTTGGGTTTCCCCCACCTCTGGGCTTTCCTCTTCCTGTTTGCTTTTGTGGGCTCCTTAGCTTTCCAAAATTAAACGCTGCAGCAGTAATTTCAGCCAATCTCACTTTCCAGTCTTTTGGTTTAGCCGGATTACTAGGAAATTATGAAAAGCTACTAGGTGTGTGCTTCATATTCTCAATTCCAGGTTTTCAGTGACTCACAAGCACATTTGGACAAATAAATACACAGTCAATGAATCATACTTCCTTTTGGGTACTTAAGGCAAATGCTCTGTATAGTTCTCTATATAGTTTTCTTGTGGTTTTAGGAATGCAATAAATAACTTTCCCCACAAATTTTGTCAGACAGTTGTTCTGATTGCAGCCGATAACTTTTAGTTGGGTGAAATTTAGTTAGGCAGGCAAGGGAAACCTCAGTGCGCTAATTGTTCAGTGACTTTCTTTAGCCTCGAGTCAGATTTCTTCTGTTTTTCAGGGTTTAGAAATCTGTAATTAACATCCTGTATAGTTAGATGGGAACATGTTTGTTAATTGCTTAAAGATTAGATGTAGGAAAGCTTCCAATCCACTCCCATGTATTCTTCATTCCAGGAAACAAATGCCGTAAAACAAGACAGCTCTTTCCCCATATCCAACATACTTAGTTTTTCTCTCCTTCCAACTTGGGTTGTTACTTTCTAGAAATGCTTAGTCCAAGTCCAGTGTACTCGTGTTTTTATAACCTCTCTCTTTGTAATACAAAAACCAAAAGGGTTTATTGGAAAAGGCACCCTGCAGTCTGCAACCAGTTTGCAACCTGGAGAACTAGGCTTTACCTTTAATATTGAAAATGCAGTGGAAGGGTATACAGTCGCCACCCTCTCACCTGTTTCTTCATTTGGGGAAGAGGTGAGTCTAAAAATCACTGAAGGAGTGGGATGGGCAGTGCAGGAACTCCCCAATCGGCCACTGCATCATTAATGCTAAAGGTAAAGTCGAGTTCTAGAGGTAAATTATCTGACAATCCTAGCTCAAACATGTGCTAACATTATGATTAGAACTGGTGCGGTCATGAATTTAGTGGGCTGAGCACTTTTCAGATACCAGACAAGGACAGAGTCACACATGCAGGTCAATAATACTAACAGGGTTCCATGCACTGTACCATTTCATATATTGGGTACAGAAATATATGAGTGCTCTCATGTATATGTATATGTGTGTGTGTGTGTGAGAGAGAGAGAGGGGGGGGGAGAGAGAGAGAAAGAGAGAGTTGTATGTTAAAGACAAGAGTTTCAACTAACTTATTTTTCTACACATAGAGAGTTCTTTACACAGGGAACACTGAAACTTAAAATCCACACGCACACATACACCTGCAGCTTGAAGCGGTAGAATCCTGTGAATTCTGGACCGTGATTCGCATGCAAAGAGCGTATGATCTGCAAGCATTCCTTGGGAGTATTTCTCCTTAAGGGCAAAGGATCTGCCTTGCTGGATCAGTGGAAGGACCATAATTCAGTGGTAGAGCAGAGATGGTCCCAGGTTTGAGCCTTGCTATTCCCAGGCAGGGCTGGAGACACCTCTCTGAAGCCCTGGAGTGGGGCTCCCATTCTGCGTAAACAGTACTAAGGCAGGTGGACCGATTGTCTTAACTGCAGCTGCCTGTGTTTCTATATAGAAAGAGCCACTTGTGTTTGTTGTTATACTGTAGAATATACCGTATTTTTCACTCTATAAGACGCACCAGACCACAAGACGCACCTAGTTTTTGGAGGAGGAAAACAAGAAAAATATTCTGAATCTCAGAAGCCAGAACATCAAGAGGGATTGCTGTGCAGTGAAAGCAGCAATCCTTCTTGCTGTTCTGGCTTCTGGGATAGCTGTGCAGCCTGCATTCGCTCCATAAGACACACACACATTTCCCCTCCTTTTAGGAGGGAAAAAGTGATTCTTATAGAGCAAAAAATACTGTACTTACAGAATATGAAAGGGCCTTGTAGGAGAGCATCTACCTTGCATGTAAAACATTCCAAGTTCAATCCCCAGTATGAGAAAGACTCCCTGGAGAGCCATAGCCAATGTAGACAATTCTGAGCTAGATGGATCTCTTCTCTGATAAGGCAGCTTCTTAGGTTACGCATGTTTCCATATCAGACCAAGAACCATTCTTAAAACAGTGACAAACTTGAAACCTCTGGGTTTTGGCAAGCAGGGCATGATAAGAGTGATGGCCTTCCTTCATTCCTGGCACCTGCTGTTCAGAGGCATATGACCAGCCAACATGACTACTCCAATTATGGTGGCAAATAACTATTTGCAAGCTAGTCCTCAGGGTATGTGTTTCCTCAACAATCCTTTTCTAAAGTTATCCAAGCTACTGACCACTGCCAGCTCTTATGGAACGTGAGTGCCCACCATAAGTTAATTATTGTGCTGTGTGAAGAAGTGCTTTCTTTGGTCTGGCTTGATCCTACTTGCCAATCAGATTCATTGGGTTCTAGTGTTTCAATGGGGATTTTTTTTTTAATGTTATTATATACCACTGATTATTTTTTTGTCCATGTGTATAGTGAAGAATGGGTTGCAGTTCCAGATTTCTACGGTGTACCAAAATTCTGAAAACGTTTGTGCCAAAATGCCAGCAGATTCTTTGATATGAATAAATAACACGCATTGGGCAATTTTGCATATTCTTACAATTTTTACATGCTCTTGGCTATGTGATATGTTTGGGTTTCATTTAATGAATGTTTGGAATTTTTGTTTTGCTCCTTTTTTTTGTCATGGACCTAAGGAAGGGGGGGGCATACAAAAGAGCTGCAGAACAAAGGGGGAAGAATTGGATATTCTAACTGAATAAACTCCAGCCCCGAATAGTGGAACCTTCCCTTCAAGTCCTCTTAAGTTTTTGAGCTTTCTGTCAAAAAACAAGCAAAACCACTCTACATGTTCTGTCCTTAACTATAAAGCACATAATCAAGCTTTTTGTTTTATTTTCAAAAAAGGAAAGCTCGTCAGCGGAATCTACAAACATATAAAAACTCTGTAAAAATGCTTTTTAAAAAAACGTTTTGAAAAATACATTGAATTTTGCATAGCTAACTGTCACCATCTAGTGTCACATTTGTATATTGCACTTCACAACACATTTAAAATGTTTTATTTGTAGCTGTATAATTCTGAGTCCCTTGAATCACTGGAGATCCAACCATTTACAGTGCAGCAAATTATTTTTCTAGTTCTCTTCCAAGATGATTCATAAGAATTCTAGGTGATCTTTGAACCAGGCTTGAACAGAGTGCCGTCTACATTCTACTGAAGTCAGTGGCAGAACTTGCTGGCATCACGTTCTGGGTTGCATGCACAAAAGTGACAGATCATGGTGGATTGTCTCATTTCCTTTCCACAAATCCAAAATGTTTTGTGACTGGGTGCTTCACAATTCTTTCCCTCCTTTTCTTGCTTTTCCAAGCCATCATTGTGTAGGCTGCTTGCAGCAGAAGCACATTTAGTCCTTGTAGTAAGGACTCTCAAGAGGTTGCAAACTTCTGGACGCAGCAATAGGAGCACTGGGAGGGCCTTTTATCTGTTCACAGGCAATAGACAGGATTGGCCAACTTCTACAAACCACTCCATTCTCTAGGGTGGGCAGACTTCAGGTTTCCAGGACCCCCTTTTGCTTTTTACTAGAACCCCCGAGCAACTATAAAGCCTGGTGCAAAAGACATACATTTAGAATGAATTCTGAGTGCAGGAATTTGTTTTGAGTTGCAGATCAGAACTGAGCTCACAGTCCTTCCAGAAAAAAAATAAATCTCTTCTGGGTTACTCCCGCCCCATTCTCACACACTGCATTCTTTATTTCGAAAGCATAATTTCGGGAAAACGGGAGTTGTATTCTTATTGCTATTGTTAAACCATTGGGAGTCAGAAATCCTTACTCATCTTCTGCAAGTTATCAGGGGCTTGCGGATATGGGAACAAAACGTAGGTCCCAGCCCAGTGTTGCCCGGGACCTTTCCCACTTTAAATGTGGGATCTACATTTTGCTCTGGTGTGGAGCAAGTCCCACTAGATCTAGCAGATCTACCAGTACCTTCTCTCCATTGCTCATCTTCAACCAGTCAAGGGAAGGGAATCTTTCTCAGCTAGAGAGCCACATTCTTTTCTAGGGAAATCTTCCAGAGGCCACATTGCAGGAGCCATAGACAAAAGAAGATATATCTTACAATGGTCATAGCCAGGATTTTTTTCTGGGAGGGGGGAGGCTTTTGTTAGAGGGGGCAGAACCTCAGATTTGTATTGATTTGTGTTGATTTAGGGTTGGCAGCTGCCCCCTGCCCCCCTAGCTATGCCCATGACTCTTACCTTTGTACAGTAGGCTAGTTATATAGAAATAGAATAGAAAATAGAAATACTTTATTGTCACCGTACCACTTGTTTACAGTGAGATTAAACAAGCCCCCCCTCGCCCCCACAATCTCTCAGTCCTTGTTACACTCTGTGTGCTGTCATACGACCACCAACCCTGAAGATCAGCTGCAACGTTGCTGTCTTCCATTCAGCAGCCTCACGGCCCATGGGTAGAAACTGGTCTTTCTACACACCACCTCCATCATCTGTTCAGGTAAGCAAGAAACATTATCAGAGCAGAAGGACATTCCATCTAGGCAACGCCCCCCCAAAAAAAAACATTAAAAGGAGGGTGCCAATTAGGGCCGTGCGTGATTGTGTGGCCTGAGGGGACTCCCAAGGGCCAGCAAAAAAATCCTTGGAGGGCTGCATCCAGTTCCCAGGCCTGAGATTCTCCACCCAACAAGAAGGAAAAAGAGGAATGAAAGAGAACGGGGGAGCCGTGAGCAAGGGAAAGATGTTCCATAAGGTAAAGGGACCCCTGACCATTAGGTCCAGTCGTGACCGACTCTGGGGTTGCGGTGCTCATCTTGCTTTATTGGCTGAGGGAGCCGGCATACGGCTTCCGGGTCATGTGGCCAGCAGGACTAAGCCACTTCTGGCCAACCAGAGCAGCGCACGGAAACGCCATTTACCTTCTCGCTGGAGCGGTACCTATTTATCTACTTGCACTTTGACGTGCTTTCGAACTGCTAGGTTGGCAGAAGCAGGGACCGAGCAACAGGAGCTCACCCCGTCACGGGGATTCGAACCGCCGACCTTCTGATCAGCAAGTCCTAGGCTCTGTGGTTTAACCCTCAGTGCCACCCTGCACGTTAAAGATGGAGCCCAGGTCCAAAATGGCTGGTGATGACTAGATCTTTGGGGAACTGAGCAATTTTATCCCCTTCCCGCCACGTGTCTCCTGTAATATAGTTGGCATCACCCAGCAGTAAAGACTATCTGGATGTTGTGTGCTCGGATGGTGTAATGAAGATATTCATGGGGGTGGGCTGCCGAGGACCACTTCTGCTTCCTGAAAGATTTCCTCAAGAGGCAAGCTGGCCAATTTTAATGGGTGGAACTGTGTGTTAAAGGTATGCTTGTGTCTTTTTAATTTTTATTCCAAGTGTATTACTGTAATAGCAAAGGAAAACAAAATGATTAAAGATGGCCTTCGAAAAGTGAGTAGCAGTTTCTACTTTATTACCGTAAATTGTAAACTTTGGCTGTATCACACAGACACACATGCTGAGATTTTGGCAAAATACACATTTATTTAAGATGAATTGACCCACGAAAGGCATATCATTAATCAACTAAAATGTCATTCAAATATACGGAAATATATAAAATTGTATTTGTACCTCTGGAAAAACAGCAGATGGTGCTCATTCCACCCTGTTTCAGTAAAAAGCCCAAGAAGGCTTCTCTTCCCTCCAGATTGCTAGCTGCTTGCACCTCCTTCTGCTCATATTCACAAAGCAAGCAAAGTAATGGCCTTGTGTTACTTCATAATCTGGCCACAGGGTACCCATCACCACCCCTGTTATATCCAAAGCCACAGGTAAATGGTAAAGGTAAAGGACCCCTGGATGGTTAAGTCCAGTCAAAGGTGACTATGGGGTTGCGGCGCTCATCTCGCTTTCAGGCTGAGGGAGCTGGTGCTTGTCCACAGACAGCTTTCTGGGTCATGCGGCCAGCAGGACAAAACTGCTACTGGTGCATAGAGGACCATGGCAAGTGCCAGAGTGCACCAAAACGCCGTTTACCTTACCGCTGCAGCGGTACCTAATTATCTACTTGCACTGGTGTACTTTCGAACTGCTAGGTTGGCAGGAGCTGGGACAGAGCAACGGGAGCTCATTCCGCCATACGGATTCGAACCGCCAACCTTCTGATTGGCAAACCCAAGAAGCTCAGTGGTTTAGAGCACAGCGCCACCCACAGCCACAACACACGGTCCAGTCCTGATGGACCAGATTCTTGTGTCACAAGAACAGGGGAAAGCCCATGACACAATGAACACTGCAACTGAAGATCAGTAGTATCAGGCAAGGGGCTCTTTCTGGGAACTTTGTGTGCCATAACTGATCTCCTGATGAACCTCAACATTCCCTGGAACAAGGTTTGAATACGTACCACTGTTCTAAAGAATCTGGAACTGGTCACAGTCCGAGCCAGTACAGTTCAATAAACTGTGTCATGGGTTCCAGACCTCACTCAGTTTTGTCCCATTGTGCATTTACGTAAATGAGACGAAAACACTAGATGGCATTCTTCTTTCCCATACTGCCCTTCAGCTCAGAAAGGCAAATAGGGCGGTTGTGTGCAGCAGAGAGTTGAATGAGGAAGTAATGTATATTTTTCTGTTTCTTGTCTTCCCCTTTATATCTTTCTTTAACTGGAAAGCAGATGGTACAAGCAAAGGGTGTTGTCTACCTATATGCAGACACACATTTATTTCTCACTAAGGTGGTAACCTGTCCTTGGGTTCTAATATACCACTTTGGGCTGCTGGTGGGAGCCCACAGGGTGGAATGCTCCTCCACACAAATACAAATGAAAAATGAAAAATCCTGCATACGAAACAGTAGCAAATAGAAGATTAGGCTAGCTTCAGTCTCCCTGACATCTAGTTTCTATGTAGCAGACAATTTTCATTTTCATTTTAATTCGTTCACAGGAGTCCCCACTTACATTCTGGCACAGGTTTCATAGTGGAAAATGGGACTATGCACACCCACAAACAAGGAAATTGGAATCTACTGTATATTTTTGAAAGTGGTTTTGTCTTTCTGCTCGTTTGTTTTCTATAAGTTTAGACAACTCTCTACGTATCGCCAAATTTGGCATGAGGGTTCCCGAGGTGGAGGTGATGGTGTTCATTGTGTTTGCTCTTCACCCCCCATTTTGAATCAAAATGGCAGACCTTTGGCATGACTTTGCCCGTTTTTCGACATAGTTTCATCTGCCTCTTGTGACAGCACCACCAAACTCCACACAGAGGTTCCTGAGGTGGGGATGGGCATCTATGTTGATGTTTGGGTGGCAGGTGCCATTTTTAATCAAGATGGCAGACTGAAATGTGACTTTGATGTGACCACACCTAAGCTTCGTCATGGGTTTGTGGGATGTGATACTTAAGTAGCAGTCAAGTACAACATTCCTTATTTTCCTATAGTGGACATGCAAGGGGATGTTTGGTCCAGCCAGTCGAAAACTTCCTGTTTCCTCCTGGCTGGGGCATACTTTCTTTGCATGTCACTGTCAGGTGTGCGTGCAGGAGCCAGGCCCTGTGACCAATAGGACTCTGCAGGACTGGGGCCTTCCTAAGTTTGTTCTGAAGAGGCAAGGCGCGGCCTCACAGGTGAGGCGAATTGGTAACTCACAGCACCTGGTGGCAAGAGCCGGGAAGGGATATAAGGTCAGCATTTTCCCTTCGGCTCTTTGCCACAGCAACATGTTCCCTCCCTTTCTGTGTTTGACTCCTTGACTCCTTGCTCCTCGGACCCCTGACTTCATGACTCCTTGCTTCTTGATCCCCAGACCCGACTTTGTGACTTCTTGCTCCTTGATCGTCGGACCCTTGGCTTCTTGACTCCCGGCTCTTCTTGACTCTTCTTGACTCTTGACTCTTGACCCTTGGCTTCTTGACTCTTGGACTCTTGACTTTCTGACTCCTGGCTTCTGGACTCCCATTCCTGCTCCCACCCCGCCATCTTGCCCCCAGTCCCAACGTCCCCAGCCGGGACTTCGATCGCCTGTGAACTGGACCGTGACAGTGACTAGAGGTGGGCGTGACCTTACAGTACCTGTGCAGGTACAAAAGCACTAGGCATGCAGCACCCTCCCTCTCTTTTCTCTTCGGCTTCCTCCATCATAGGACCAGCAGCTTTTTAGCTAGAGATGCTCTGTTGGCTTTCAGCAAACAAAGGGACTATCTCCATATGGGATAGACTCACATGTATATACTTTGTAACTATGTCTGCCTTCAGGGATCCATCTGTGAACTGAATGTGTGAGTAATTTTCTTTTATATACTTTAAACAAGACTGTGGCGTGTTTATTCTTTTAAGGGGGATATAAGAGGAATTACCAGGAATCTGATAGAGAGGCTTAAACAAGACTGCAAGAGCTACCTGCTGTGCATTTAGAAGAGGAATGTAAAACTCTGCTAAGTTATAGAACTTGCTAGCGCAAGTTAGGAAGGTAGTATTAAACAAGATATCCTCTCCTGCCTCCTTGAACATTCCAACAGGGATATCGTCACCACCCCTAGCACAAGGGTTCCTGAAGCGGGGTCAGGGTCTTTGTCACTGTTTGGATGTCACTTATCATTTTGAATCAAGGTGGTGGATCGAAACATGACTTTGGATTGACTTCACCTGATTTTTGATGTTGACAGGTCCAAATTGCACAATGTTTTAAAATCACAATATGTTTTGGTTTCTAAAAAATACCTGGGCAGCGCTGGGCACTTTCCACTATTAGGGAATGAACGAGGGGCATGCAAAGATAAAGTATCTTTCCAATTCCCTTTTCCTTATCGCTTTTCATTTACCCAATCTGACCTGGGGGAGTCTTGCCACCAGACCATTTGAAGGGCCCTTTCTCTTCACCTCCTCCATTCATATAGTTTCCCACTGACAAGTTCAGCTGCTCACCCCAGCTGCATGATAGGGTGAGCTCCCATTGCTCTATCCCAGTTTCTGCCAACCTAGCAGTTCAAAAGCATACCAGTGCAAGTAGATAAATAGGTACCGCTGTGGCGGGAAGGTAAACATCGTTTCTGTGTGCTCTGGCTTCCATTCTGGTGTTCCAGACGTGGTTTAGTCATGCTGGCCACATGACCCAGAAAGCTGTCTGTGGACAAATGCTGGCTTCCTCGGCCTGAAAATGAGATGAGCGTTGCACCCCATAGTTGCCTTTGACAGGATGTAACTGTCCAGGGGCCCTTTACCTTATATACATAAACTGAAGTTTTGTGAAAAGTGAAAGAGTGATGAACATGTCCTGAACAAAACTTCTATATTTAACTATTTTAAAAGCACGCCAACACAGTTTATATACTGAGATCTGGCTCCTCTGAATGGGGCATGTGGCCATAAGTGGAAATAGGTTTCTTTCCTTCCCTACTGCAAACAAAATGGCGATGTTGTGCTCAGGTAAGGAGCCAATAGAAATAGGGATGTGGTAGTACCCACATGACAAAACCAGCCACCAGGGCAGATTGTGCTAATAAGCTTCCATGCTAGATGCATAATGTGTTGTTTTTTATTATCAGATTTTCTGCATTATGAGGAAATCCAGATTAAATGTAGGAAAAGCAAATAAACTCCAGCCTAAAAATAAACTCAATTGAAAGAGAGGATGAGAGGGAGAGCTGTTGTGAGCTTGGGATCTTATAGGTTCAGGAAGGCTCTTTCTGAAGATGTGATGCAAGGTGTCTGATGTGAACTCTAATATTTGTAAGTAATCCAAATACTAAAAACGCAGTTAAGTGTCTGTCGTCCTGACTGAGGAAGCCAAACTCAGGTAGTGCTGGCTCCAGAACTTCTAATCTCATGGGGAAATTGGAAGCATGTAACAGAGCTATTGAGGGTTTCAGGGATTATGACTTCCAAGGAAATTGCAGAAAGGTGACAGCAGCAAAGGCCGCTGGCTTTTATTGCTCACACAAGAATAGCAGGTATCATGTATTCTAACAGTGTTTCAAGTTGAACAGTGGAAAAATTACTGCCAATTAAAGCAAGCCATAGAACTTTTGTTCCAAATGATCATTTTCCACGGATTGAGGAATTTCTCCTGGTTCTTCTGATCTTGGTGTCTCCACTGGTTCTGAAAAGGAAGAAAACATTAAGTTATAAAGGTTTCTGTTTGGTTGAGGCAGTCCCAGCAATAATCAACACAACAATGGCGTAGCGTGGGGGTTGGGGCCACAGGGACAGTTGCCCCGGGTGCAAAATTGTTAGAGGGCGCAAAAATTCAACACCTGGTGCTGCCTCAGTACAACTGCGTACTTCTGGGCGCTATTGAAAACAGCTTCTCCATGCAAACCAGAAAGTGACCTCTCCAGACGATGGAACGACTCTTCTTATCTCTGTGGCTGCAATCTCCTGGGTGACGTGGAAGCCACTAGGCAGTTGAATGTGCATGCGTACTTCGTCCATTTCCTTTCCACCCACCCCCTCTGTGCAGCCCCGGGCACTGTCAACCCACGCTATGCAACTGCAACACAATAATAATATCTAGTATTCACAGTAACTACTAGTTACGGCAAAACAAAAGGTCGATGGCTAACACAACAATTTGCCTTGATCAAACATATGGGCTGGATTCTACAAATGATCCCCGTTAGCGGAAGCCAATACAAGAGCTTCTGCTGGCACAACAGGGCATCTTGCCCTTTCTCCCCACCCCCACCTCCAGCAAGCCCTCCCCATTGCTTGAGGGGGCAGGAATCAGGGGAACCCCCAAACAGTAGCATGGAGATTGTTCTTCCTGACGAGCTAAAATGCTTGCGCTGCAAGAACGCTCCCCTTAGCACTATGTTGCATTCATCCCTATGGCCCCAATCTAGCTAAATCTCCCTGTAAATCTCCCTGTATGGCCCCAATCTAGCTAAATCTCCCTGTAAGTTAATTAAGGTTTCTTCATTATTTTTCATTACCTGTAACAACATCAACAATTCATATTAGCAGGTATGAAGGGGAAGAATATGGAGAATAATTAGAACAAAAACTATTTGTATTCTCCCTTTGTGTAACAAAAAGCAATTCAGAGGCCAGGAGGCTTCCAATAATTAAATCACGTTGTCGTTTCAGATAACTGCTTAGCTTGAGATTGCCTCTGTTGGGGCAACCCAGGCAGTTTCTAAAACAAAGCAGCGAATAGTTATATTTATTCAGTGTTCCTGCAGCTTTATGATCCAGGAGGTTGGGGCAAAGCAATTGATTTGTGCTATGTGTTTGGGCCGATTCAGTTCCAGCAGTAAAGCTGGAGCAACGACTGAATCCTTATTTGATCCAATTGACTAGTGAGCCCTGAGATAGTTACTGGGGTAAGCAGAGGTAACAAAATACCCCCACTGTTGGAGGCAGCACATCTCTGAATACCAATTTCTGGGTATTGCAGGTGGGGAGAGTGCTTTGTCCAAACTGGAGCAAAATGTGGATTCACATCACTGTGTCTTCTCATTCATGTAGGGGTGTACACACGACTCCAGCCCATCCCAGTGTTGTTCCACATCACTATCCCTTTAAATGCAGGGCTTTTCCTCCAACCTCTGTTGGAGATGTGGTGGAGAAATAGGAACAACAATACACATGTGGTGGAGGTGTGAGGAAATTAAGAAATTTTGGATAGTAGTACATGAAGAACTAAAGATGTTGAAAATATCAATAAAGAAACCAGAGACATAGCTCCTTGGATTGATAGATGAAGAGATACCATGGGGGGGGGGAATTATTCTATATGCAAGTACAGCTGCTAAAATAGTGATTGCTGCTAGGTGGAAGTCACAAACTATACCCACAAAGGAGGAATGGATTTGTAAACTAAATTAATATTTAATTTTGGCAAAATTAACTGCTATAATAAGAAATCAGTTGAATCAAAAATTTAAAAAGGAGTGGAAATGTTTTGATGAATATATGGCAAAATATTGCTCAAAAAAAGACACGCTAATATGCCTAGATTAAAATGTGAAGTACTGGATGGAAGGGAAATTAGTACGGAAAGATAATAAGAATATATAGATGATTTGAGAAGATTGTAGAATGCAAAGATTATTGTAAATTGTATAATGTGGAGGAAATCGAGTGGGGGTGGAGGGAAGTGGGAGGAAGGAGAAAAGAATAATATGATGGATGGAGGAAATATAAATGTAAATGTATGGGGGAAGAAATGGTGTTGGCTTTGGTACATCTGTATTGTGATGTAATATGTGAAAACCAATAAAAAAAAAATGCAGGGCTTTTCCAAATCAGAGAAATCCTGCATTTAAACTGAGAAAGGGCTGTCCCACCCAGACCAAAGGATGGAGTCCACATTTGTTCTAGTGTGGACCAGTCCAAAGTCCCTTAAAAAAAGAAGAAATCTGAATGAATATGCATCAAAACAAGCAGTGATGTCTAACGGCTCTGCAAACAAATCGGGGAGAATGATCAACAAACAGGTCATCAGGAAGCACACATTCATTCTTACAGATTGCGGGATCCTTACCCATTGAGAAAACAGCACTTCTGTCTGGGGTTGCACCAGCTGTTTCCTGCTGAGTGCACAGCTCCTCAGCAGCACTCGCAAGGGGGACTCCTTCCGCTAGTTCCTTCTGAGTATATAGTTCTCCAGCTTCCAGAAAAGGGATAGAAGACTTCGCTGGGAGATCTAGACTCTTCTGGGCCGCCGCCTCCAGTTTAGTCACCTGTAGCTCAGGCTTATCTTCCTCCACCACTGTTTCCGGCTGAGGTTCTTCCTGTGGCTCTGGAGCCTGCTGCTGGCCTCTGCCCCTGCCCCTGCCTCTCCGGGCCCCTCTTCCCCTTCCTGTTGGCTTGCTCCTCTTCTGCTCCCTGTAGTACACAAAAGGCATTTTGGTATAAAGGGATCTGATGGATTGCTTTGAAGGGCCCTGCTTGCAAGGATGTTCACGAGAATCAGTGGTGGGCTGCTTTTGAAATTCTGCCTTTCATTTTTAACAACAGGTTGGCTTCCGTGATGATGGTTCAGTGAGAGCACAGGGGGGAAAGGACAGAATTTAATCTAGGGTGAGGGATTCAGCAGCTGAGTATCCCAGGACCAAAATACATTCAGTTGCAGCTGAATAGGAAGCATTAGCCCAGGAGTATATATGATGATGGGATGCAGGTGGCGCTGTGGGTTAAACCACAGAGCCTAGGACTTGCCAATCAGAAGGTCGGCGGTTCGAATCCCCGCGACGGGGTGAGCTCCCATTGCTCGGTCCCTGCTCCTGCCAACCTAGCAGTTCGAAAGCACGTCAAAGTGCAAGTAGATAAATAGGTACCACTCCAGAGGGAAGGTAAACGGCGTTTCCGTGCGCTGCTCTGGTTCGCCAGAAGCGGCTTAGTCATGCTGGCCACATGACCCGGAAGCTGTATGCCGGCTCCCTCGGCCAATAAAGCGAGATGAGCGCCGCAACCCCAGAGTCGGCCACGACTGGACCTAATGGTCAGGGGTCCCTTTACCTTTATATGATTATAATTATATTAATCTTCTTATATCTTATAGTGTAGTGGTTTGTTTGATTTTTCGGTTATTCGTTTGTTTGATTGTATGTTTGTTTACTTGTATCTATGTCTGTCTTTTCATAAATGTATTTATTTTAAATTAATAAAGATATATTTAATAAAAAAAGGAAGCATTAGCCCGCAGGAGGGAGTGGTTGGCAGCTGAACCTTGTTGCTAATCCCTTCCCCTACAAACTATTCCCCCACTCCCAAAACTTCCCCTTAACTACTCCCCTCTACAGCCCAAGGGACCCAATTTCTGAAAGATAAACCCAAGTCTAGGATAATAGTGCAAATAACTGCAGTCCTGTACAGACAAGACCACTGGACTAACATTACACATAGCTGAGGTATAGCGTGGTTTTTAAGTCCAGCAAGCCTTTAGCCTTAAATTTCAAATACATGCTTGAAAGCATGCAGGCAATGTCTAGTGCAGGGCTTCCCAAAGTTGGGTCTCCAGCTGTTATTGGACTACAATTCCCATCATCCCTGACCACTGGTCCTGTTGTATTCCAAAAAGAGCTGGAGACCCAAGTCTGAGAAACCCTGGCATAGTGACATCTCAGAAACTAAAGGGGCAGTTGAATAAAATTTATAGTGGTCAGACAATGTCACCACTGTCATCCTCCTAATTTACCTCAGGACCCACTGGTGAGTGTTTTTTTCTTCCGCCTCGGCTTTCCTTTTTCTGAGAAGCTCTCGGTCTCTCAAATGGCGTGTGACAGCAACCTCTGCAAGAGCAAAGAAGCAAGTAGAGGAAGAGACGACTCCAGGAGGAAATAGAATCCGATGAGATGGTTGCAAGATTAGAGGATGGTGCCACCACCAAGAGAACCCTTTCAGCCTGAGTGTCGGGTTAGGAAGATGAACAGAAAAGTCCTGTTCATATAATGGATGTTTGCAGTCAATGTGCATTGGGGGTGGGTGGGACTTCAGCAGCAGGCCCCACCCCCAACACACGGGTGGCGCTGTGGCCTAAACCACTGAGCCTCTTGGGCTTGCCGATCAGAAGGTTGGTGGTTCGAATCTGCATGAAGGGGCGAGCTCCCATTGCTCTATCCCAGTTTCTGCCAACCTAGCAGTTCGAAAGCATACCAGTGCAAGTTGATAAATAGGTACCGCTGTGGCAGGAAGGTAAATGGCATTTCTGTGCACTTTGGCTTCTGTCACTGTGTTCCATTGTGCCAGAAGCAGCTTAGCCATGCTGGCCACATGACCCGGAAGCTGTCTGTGGACAAACGCCGTCTCCCTCGGCCTGAAAGCGAGATGAGTGCTGCCCCCCATAGTCACTTTTGACTGGACTTAACCATCCAGGGGTACTTTACCTTACACCGACTTGGCCACATGAATAGATATTAGGAGTGCACAAAAGCTTTATTTGAGCATTCAGATCCAATCCCCCATCCATGAACTGGAGGAAAAAATAGGAAGCCTCCGGTGACTTCTTGTACCATTCGCATACCCTCCAACATTTCTTTGATGAAAATAGGGTTGCCCAATCAATCAATCAATCCACTGCCTATCTGACTGGTTTGCCCCAGCCACTCTGGGCAGCTTCCAATATATATAAAAACATAATAAAACATGAAACAATAAAAAACCCCATACAGGGCTGCCTTCAGATGTCTTCTAAAGGTTGTATAGTTAGTTATCTCCTTGACATCTGATGGGAGGGCTTTCCACAGGGTGGGTGCCACTACCATGAAGGCCCTCTGCCTCCCTGTGGCTACACTTTTCACAGAAGGCCCTTGGTGCTGGATCTCAGTGTCCTGGCTAAATGGACAGGGGTGGAGATGCTCCTTCAGGTATACGTTTAGGGCTTTAAATTGAATTCAACACTTGGAATTGTGCTCGGAAACGTACTGGGAGTCAATGGAGCCCTTGTCCTATCCTGAGCACCCAGCTTCAGAAATATGTAGTCAAAACCTGGCAAAGGCTAAATAGGGCATCTGGTTCAAGCGATGGCAGTCATGATAGATCATTGCACTTTACCTTCCTGTCCCTTGGGTCTAACTTCCTATTGTATGGTGAAACCTGGTGGACACAACTGAAACAAATTCACACACACACCTCATCCAATTAGGTCACCATGATACATACCATGTCAGCATGTTCATCCAGGATCAAATTCTGGATAATGTCTTTTGCACCATTAACTATCCTTGCATTCAGCAGCAAAACTTTAAAGCCCCAGGCTGTCATACAAGTTACTAGGATGTTGTTATTAGGCAGATAGCCCATAAGGCAGAGTCACCACGGAGCTATGCCTCTTCTGATGTCCCTGTACCCACAGTTTTTCAAACACCCGTTTCCTGGGGTTCTGTGCTGCCGAGATGAATTTGCCCTCCATTCAGATATGCAACTTTGAGTGAAGACAAATGTGTCATTAAGAGTGGAACTGACCAGAACAAACAAGTTTTCTAGGTAGAGTATGTGTTCAGTAGCCTTACATCACACTTCAGTTGTGTACACGCACTATACCTTTAGAATACTCAAACAATCCCGGTCACTCTAATTTTCCCCTCATGGTGTTACAATTCCCAGTAGCCCTCAACAAACTACAATGCCCAGAATTCTTTGAGGGGGGAAATGTCTTTTGAATGTGCTTTAACCGTAACATTGTGAATGCAGCCTTAAAAAAAACATGGTATTTATATTTTCAGGTTTTTAAAGACTGTGAAGAAGGGGCTGAAATCTGAACGATCCTGCTGCACTTGTGCATGTACGGTAATCCCTATGCATGCCTACTCAAAAGTAAGCCCCCACTGAGTTCCATGGGACTTACTCCCAGGTAAGTGAATATAGGAATGCAGCCTAAGAAAATTTGGGAAAGACATATCCCCAACATTTCCCCCCCAAAGGTAAAAAATAGGAACAGTTTTATCAGAGACACGTGCCAGAAAAATAGCTGCAGCCCCTGTTAAATAGGGTCTACTGGAGAGAATGTAATTTTAACAGAATTGCATTAGAAGATTCCCCTTTCCCAGAATAATATTTGTTACCTGGAACTGCATAGTCCTCCGCTGCGACCACTGGCTGCTGTGGATTTTCAGAATAGGAATGGTCTTTTTCTAAGCTTTCCATTTTCAGTTTCTTAATTTATAAATATATATGAAAAAGAGTTTAATTCCAACATAGAATCATCTGACACATGTACTGCTTTAGTGCTAAATGAAGAGTTTCAGGAAAAAAGAAAAACTACACGCCCAGAGTATCTTATCTGCTCCGGACACTGGTATGTTAATACTTCTTTTCCTTATCATGCTGCAAAGGTGTTTAAATTCACGCTCATAGCTCATGGCATAGCTCTGCCAAAGCATTAACATGCCCCTCCTGACAAACACTGCGTTTTCAAAAAGACATACTGTTTGCAATGTATTTTTATTGATTCAGGGGGCAGCTGCCCCTCCCTGCCTCCCCTTTGCTACACCCACGGATGAGATGTTGTTTGGGAGTGAATCAACCTACCCATCTCCCCCGCCAAAAAACAACAACAAAAGAGGACACCGATTTTTATTTTAAAAATTATGTTTGATGGAAATTGATACATACAGTATATATTTAGTAATGATTGTAACAGAAAGGAGGAAATACTTTCTAGGACAGGGTAAATAGAAAACTTGCTATGTAAGTACTGCAGGGCTGTGCCTCAGGTATTTAATTGACAATGCATACGGTACATTAAAAGCATAAATTCACAAGCATACTTCACTACATAAAAAAGGAAGAATCTCACCATAAGAAAAGTATAATAAAGTAGACCTTTGTGTTACAAAAAGATCTGAAACATGAATGGGCCACATCAGACTAAAAGTATGTGCAATGGCACCATACTGACATTCCCCAATTCACAAATTTCCGGTCATTTTTTAAAAATGAAAATGTTTGCAGCTACCTTTCAAAGGTCCTTCTACATCAGTATTTTGACTTCTCCCCCACCCCACCCCCGTCCCTTGGGCACCTCCCTTGTGCTCAAGACAGATTATTCTGCTCTTCTGCAAAGGTGGGGCAGACTTTACAAGTCACAGTGGTAGATGGGGCAGCTGCAAAGGGAGTTCTGTACATCTCCTGCTTTCTCTGATATGCAGAAGGAAGGCACAACATTCACAGTGGAAGCTTGCAAAAAGTAAAAAGGAATCCCAAACAGCCCATTATTGCACCAGACGCAAACTCTCCCTCTCTGTAGGCTCCCCCAAACCACCTAACTACGGAGCATTTATTATTATTTGCTTGCACAATGCTTACAGTGTTGTTAGATCATATCCAGTTTTTAAGTGAACATTCATTCCCATTTGTTTGCGGGGGTGTTTATATGACGAGCATCTAGCCTGCTTTTATCCTGATTTGATTGTGGGGTGGTTTATCTGTCTTCCTGTTCTTTTGTTCATCCCACACTTTTCAATACATTTCCCCATCACTTGCCAAACCTTCTTATTCTTTTTTAATGTGGATTTGTTATGTGGTGGGTGGAGGACCTTTTTCACCCTGCAATGCCTTCTGCTAGCCCACATGCTAGCCACAGTGGGGCCAGGAACAGAAGTAGGGGGCAATGAATGTACATTTTACCTTTGTACAGTAGGCTAGTTTCTGCACACGCTTGAACATCTCTCTCTAGCCTTCACCCAGGCAAGCAAGACTGGGGAGGGGCATGACCTGGTAGGCGTTTGAGGAAAGTGGGTGAGGAGAGGCCAGAAAGAGAAGCTGGACACCAGGGCAAAAGTGTATTTTCCACATTTAGGGACAGAATGTCTCAAGACACAATGGAGTGTGTCTGCAGGGGTGAAGTCAAACCACTGTGTTAGCAGCACCAAAGTGAGCTCCCTGGGGTGCAAGACTGAGCGGCTGCCCAGGCAACAAGACCCTCCTCTTGCCCTCACTGATGTGGTTCTAAGGAAAGCAGAGCAATACGTTTGGCACCAGCTTGGCTGCAGGGGTTGCCAGTAGTAGTACAAGCTGCCATCCAACCATCTTAGGGACTCCACTTGGGATTGGTGTAGGGGTTACTCCTTAATCTTTTTTCTCCTGAAAATATCCCAGAAGACAGTGGAGGTTTAGGATCAGTTTTTTCCTTCTCCCAGGCTGGCAAGCCCCATCTGACCACCACTTCCCTCTACATCTATGGCATATGCAGAAACTGCCTTCTTGGCTATTGGACTCATTATAAGTCTCATTCACTCAATCTGCTGGAACCTGTCTTCGCATGCAGGGGAAATCCCTAACTGACCGAGGGTTTGAGACCCATTGGCTACCCTCTCTTGGTTTAGCCAGCCAGTCGAAGCCATTCATGGGGTGTGGCTGCTATCACATCCTGACAGCTTCTAGGAGCCACAGGTGAGAGCTGAGTGTAGGGTGGGGACCAAAGGTGGACAAACTACCCCAGAAAGAGCATGGCGTGTCCCCCACCAGAGCTACTACCCCTCCCCTAAAACCCCATACACCCCACAGAGCACTGTAATCTACTTTAATTGTAAAGGTAAAGGTACCCCTGCCCGTACGGGCCAGTCTTGCCAGACTCTAGGGTTGTGCGCGCCCATCTAACTCTATAGGCCGGGGGCCAGCGCTGTCCGCAGACACTTCCGGGTCACGTGGCCAGCGTGACAAGCTGCATCTGGCGAGCCAGAGCCACACATGGAACGCCGTTTACCTTCCCGCTAGTAAGCGGTCCCTATTTATCTACTTGCACCCGGGAGTGCTTTCGAACTGCTAGGTTGGCAGGCACTGGGACCGAGCAACGGGAGCGCACCCCGCCGCGGGGATTCGAACCGCCGACCTTTCGATCAGCAAGTCCTAGGCGCTGAGGCTTTAACCCACAGCGCCACCCGCGTCCCTTTAATTGTACAAACCTACATTTCCCAGTATGTACTTAAACCCCTCTCACAAAAGAGTGATAGCCTAGGGCTCTCCTGTACAGGAGAGTCGAAAGTTCAGTTGTTCATCCTAGGAACTTAGGAGGATGTACAATTCATTTGAAGCACCATTAAAAGTGTCAGTCACTATTCATATTCACATGAAGGCCTGCCTGACACATTTGGAAGCACTCAGAGCAAGAGTGACCAAATTCTCATTACAGTCTGCTGAAGGCTGATAATACATTATGACCGTGACTCAGCAAAATAGCCAAAGATGACAGGTCAAACTAGATAACTTTCCCCCCTTCCAGCCTATGGAACAAAAAAAGGGCACTTTGCCTGCTACAAAGTGACAGAAATTATCACTGAACCCTATTCACAACCCCACTCCAGTCACTTGCAGTTCCCAAACCAGGTGGGTGTTGAGCTTTGTGGGTGGACCCTAAAAGCTGCTTGCAGGGCAATACTGGCAGGGAAGAACTGGCAGGGAGGAGAAGGGCATGGCCGTAGCTGGGGGGGGGTAGCTGTTTTTTTGCCCCAGGTGAAGCCTCCAGAGGGGCGTCACTGAGGCTTCCAGCCTGTGTGCCAAACTGGGTCTTTGACCTGGGTGAAATAAAGCCCTGTTTCGTCCTGACAAATGATCAGATTTTTAGTTCTTAAACTCTGCACGTGCTCAAGTATCTCTCGTTGCTGTAAAATAGAACCCAGTTTGCTTAACTCCGTTAGGTTGTGCCTTTGGTGAACATAGAAAATGCAACTCTTACTTTTAACAGAGGAAGCTTTTTTCTACGTTATCAGGTGGGCAGTGACCCAAGATAGGATTTTTTTCTGTTGTTCAGCTCCATTTATGAAATTCTCCCCCAAAAGAAGCATCAAATTCCCCCTTCACCCTGGCTATTGGTGGACAGTTGCTGGGATATTTTTTTTTAAAGCTTTTTAATACTGCTGCCCTTATTGTTTAATGATGTAGTAGACAAATTGTGTATTTTTTGATATTTTGAGAGCTCAACTATTGAATGGCACAGCTCCCTTTCTCTGCCACCTTCCAGTACATGCTATTTCTCCCTTGCAACATCAGTAACAGCAGACCTACCTAGAGAAATCCTTGTAACAGCCTTGGCTATTTCCCCTTCATTAAACAGAATACTGTGCCATATCATTCCGTAGCATGAGCATCCCCTGCTGGTGAAACAGGTGTACTGTGATAGAGCAAGGTTTCTCAAACCGGGGGCTAAGGTAGGCAGGACCCATCTGTGGGCCTTAGGCCTGCCCACTGCCTCCTTCCTTGCTTGTCATGCCTCTTGGCTGGGTTAATGCCAGCACCAGCAACTCCTTGCATGCTGAGTAAAGGTGGCAGCGAGACAGAGAAGATCCAGGGAAGGCAGGCAGGCAGGCCTCTGAGGGGAAAGGGATAGAGATGCTGAAGGATATTAGTGCAGTACAGTAAAATAAAAGTTTAATATATGTTAATATTATTTAGTTGAACTGGGAATACAAAGGAAGGGGATAAGAGAAGAAAGCTGCTATTGGAGGAAGAAGTGAATGTAAAAGGACCAGTGAGGAGGGGTGAAAGAAACTGGCAGGGTGTGCAGATAAAGGACAAGAGCAATAACCCTCTCACTAATGTAAGGGAAGGTCTTGTGAACTGCAGAGTGTGTCATGGACTAGTTTATATTATTTGCAGAATTACTGCTGGCAACAGACCTCCTAAGGATTCCCCCTTCCTCCAAAAACGGCAGTCAACACTTGGGAGACCGGGTTGCTGACCTCTAATTTATTCTTCTATTTTATCTCTAACTTTCTCCTTCACAGCCCGGTAGTCAAGGCTCCTCTGGTACCTGCAAAATAAGAATGCAGGTAAGAGCAATGTTTGAGAGCAGGACAGTGAATATCAGTACCAGTGGTTTTGAATTCAGGGCAAGGGAGGACAGACACCTGCACCACTTTTGGTAGGTGTGCAAAACTAGAATTTCAGCTGGTGCTGCGTTTGGTTTGGGTTTCAACTCGTGCATGACAAGCTGCACTTGCCAAAACACACAAACCCTTCTTCGATTTGACTTTTAAATCACAGGAGCCCTGATCTATTTAAAATAAACACACACACCACTCTGATATTGAGCTGACCCTGCTTCTGTTCACAGCTAGAAGTACCCCCTGCTTTAAACTCTGTGAACACAAATGAAAAAATAAAGGATTAGGCTGCCTACCAAATATCTGGGGAGCAACAACAGGAAGACTATTGTCTTCATCTCCTGCTTGTGGATGCAACTAGTTGACTGTGTGAGAAACACGCTGGGCTACACAGACCTTTAATCCAGCAGCACTCATCTCATGTTCTTAGGAGGACAGCAGTTAACACTGTACCCAAAACCCCACTGGGACCAAAGGCCTGTGTCATGTGGCCAGAGGGCACATCCTTCAATAAGCATGCATGCATAGAACACCAAAGCAGGAAAGGGGAACCAGTGGCCCTCCGTTAGTTAAGAACATATGAAGAATCTGCTGGCTCATCTGGTCTAGCATCCTGTTGTCAGAGTTGTCCCCAAGATCTCACTCCTGGTCAGTCACCACCAGCTTAGAACCCATGAGCATACATGTGAAATGAAGATGTCTTGTGCTAACATGCTTCACTTTACATTTGTTCACAATGGATTTAATTTGCCATTTTGCCGCTCATTCACTTAGTTTGGAGAGGCCCTCTTGGACTCCAGTTCCAGTAAGGATAGCCAATGATCACAGCTGATGGGAGATGGAGTCCAACAACTTCTGTAGGGCCACAGGTTCCCCATTTTTATTGGGAATATTTCTCCATTCGTGAATGGCTCAGCTGCTCCAGAAAACCCAGCCCCTGAAGCAGCACACAGAAATGGAGGTGCCAAGGGCAGCATACCCACCCCTAGTTGTTGCCACAAGGAAGACAGAACCATTGTGATGATAAATGAGCTAGTTCCCAAGGGAGGAAGGCGGCCATGGTGGAGCTGGGCAACGGACCATTATTGATCTGGGAGAAACAGTTTCTTGTTGTTTTGAAACACTAAAGTGGGGTTCTGTATGCGTGTAGAATTAATGTTACACTTTTTGAAACATCCTGCAACAATCTTTAACGGCCTTACAGGTGATCAGGCTGGCCTTTGCAAGAAGTGAAGGATAAGCTAATGTCTCTCCCCATTCCATGAACAAAAGCGGACTAGTCAGACTGCTGAATTTTACTTCAACACAGAAAATGGAGACAGTGCACACAGTGGCAGATAGCTTAGGGCAGGCATGGTATACACACCATAGTTCTCCAAATGCTCCCTACTGCTCTTTGCCCATGGCATCTGCAGCCTGAGGCAGATTCCCCATGGTAGGGCCAGCCCTTCAGGTGATCCGTAACATTTTGTTAACTCCTAATGTGAAAGGCTAGACTCTTGAGAGTCCCATGGACTGCAAGAAGATCAAACGCATCCATTCTTAAGGAAATCAGCCCTGAGTGCTCACTGGAAGGACAGATCCTGAAGCTGAGACTCCAGTACTTTGGCCACCTGATGAGAAGAGAAGACTCCCTGGAGAAGACACTGATGCTGGGAAAGATGGAGGGCACAAGGAGAAGGGGGCGACAGAGGACGAGATGGTTGGATAGTGTTTTCGAGGTTACCAGCATGAGTTTGACCAAACTGCGGGAGGTAGTGGAGGACAGAGGTGCCTGGCATGCTCTGGTCCATGGGGTCACGAAGAGTCGGACACGACTAAACAACAAATGTGAAAGGCTATAGCATCAAAAAACTACTTGGCTGGAAGCTGTGGGTGATAATTTCTCCATGAAGCAAGAGCCATCACTACTGTATCAGTTGTGATTGCTTTATTCATATTTCTTTCTTTTGCATGCAAACTCCTCTGCTTTCAACCTTTTGTTACCTTTTCATGCCTACCATTGTGCCTTTTACACCTTTTACAATGGAGCTCCTTCAATCTACAATAGCTTCCTATTCTTTATCTTTCAGGTACCTCCTCCTAATAATTTAAATCCTTTCAGAAAAGCTTCCTAGCCTACAGGTATTAGGTTGTTTTTTTTACACTTTAACTCTCCTGCTGTGCAGCTCAATCCTATGCAGATTCACACATAGGATATTTGTCATCAGATCTCAACCTTGCTTTCTCCCCTAAAGGGTAGATCAGAGCCATGGCAAATGGACAGAAGCTTAACATTTTTTCACCAGTGCACCTCCCCCCCCCCAAATTTCCAAGCTATTTACCCATGTATTTTCCCTAGCAAGAGTAGTATCTTAGGGAGGTATTTTAGACTGGGCAATAAGGGAAAAGGTCCTGATCCAGTTTGTTTTTTCCCACTCATCCTTCAGCAACTTTAAGAAAATGTCAGGAGATATTATCACAGATTTTTTGTAATTGAATAAGGTTGGGCCTGGAAGCTGTACGCCAGCTCCCTCGGCCAATAAAGCGAGATGAGCGCTGCAACCCCAGAGTCGGTCACGACTGGACTGAATGGTCAGGGGTCCCTTTACCCTTTATGGGCCAAAACAGATGTGACATTAATAATGCTACACTTTTGTTAAGAGCTATTGGAGGGCGGGGGGCTCTGATCCAAGTCAGTGCAATTGGGGGGAGGGAGCGTTAATCCTGGATTAGAGGCCCAGTAGCTATTTTCATTGGAAGCTACCATTACCAGAAACAAAAGCTTCTTCCAAGATGCAAACATGGGGTGATCCGAACTGGGAGTATGGCAACAGCAAAACGTTAAAGTATCCTTCACCAACACTATAGCCCGAATCCCAATCAGGGGTTTTACAGCTGCCATATTGTGTCCCAAAGTTCACTGAAATCAGTGGGCAAAGCAGATGATACCAGGCTACTCAGGATAGTAAAAACCCAAACAGGCTCCAGAAGGATCCCTAAAAGGTGGGTAAACGAGCAACAAAATGCCAAATGATGTTCAATGTAAGTGAATTGTTATATGCATGGTTGCGGGGTGGAAACATAATCGTGTAGGTATTTATAAAAAATATCGATATGCTGCTTTTAGCCGGCAATGGGAGGGGAAGGAAGCCATGCTTCTGCTTTCTCCCCGGGACCGCAAACATCGCAGAAGCAGCAGCAACTTAAGTTTTTGCAGGCCTGGATCAAGTAATACTTTACAATGGGACCGACGATCGGCTGTTCTGGGAATGGGGGGCGGGGGGGGGGGAAGGGCCGCTCGTGTCGACCTAAAAGGCTGGGAAGCAACTTTCGGCAGCAGGCAGGAGCGCGCCGGCCTCCCGCGCTCCAGGCGCAGAGGCGGGAGCGCGCCTCCGTCCGGGCGGGGTGTGGCTATGACGACGGAGTTCCGGGGAGTCTCTTCCCCGGCGCGCCCCCTGGCGGCCAAGCCCGTCCGTTGATTCTGCTCCGGCTCAGCCCAGCCCAGCTCAGGGCCCCGCCGCCAGTTTAACTGCAGTCGCGACGACGGCGCCCAGCGCTCCAAGCCTTGCCTGTTGTTGCTGCTGCCTACGACGACGACGACGACGACTCCTGCTCGGCCGCCGCTGCCCTTCGGCGAGTTAACTCGGAGCCCCGCGCCGAGGCCCGTCCCGCTCTCATTTCCTCCCACTTACGACGCCGCCGCAGCCGCCGCCATGGACATGAAGAAGCGGATCCACTTGGAGCTGCGGAACAGGACTCCGCCGGATGTAAGCATGGGCGGGAAGCCGGCGACCACCACCGAAACCACCCACTTTCCTGGGGTGGGGGGGAAAGAGAGGGAGCAACCGGTTCGGGAGGTGGGGGGGGAGGGGAGCTCGGTTCGGGTGTGAGGTGAGGGGAATGGCGGATAAAAGGGAGAGAGAGAGAGCGGAGGTCGCTCGGCCTGAGGGAGGCGGGAAGAGCAGAAGCGGGCGCGTGTCTGTGTGGGGGGCGGGCGGGCGGGCGGGCGCCTGGCTGAGGAGAAGCGCTCCGCGCGGCCGCCATGTTGTTCCGCCGCTGCGTCCGTGTGAGGGAAGGGAGCGTGGGCTGCCTGCGGAGAGGCGGTTGGTGCCTCGCTCTCGCGTGCGCGCGACGGCCCCGCCGCGTCCGTCTTCTTCTTAGCCAGTGGGGGCGCGCGTTTTGGCGCGCGCCACTTCTCCCCCCCCCCCCCACAGCGTCCCTCTTAAACGGGCAACAGCTGCATATAAAACAAAAAAAAAACAAAAAACGGAAGGCCGAGTGAGCGCGCTCCTCCGCGTTCGCTTCTTTTGGCGCTCACGTGCGCGCGCGCGCGCTGAGGCCTTGTCGCTCGCTCGTTCGCTCTCCCGCCCTCCCCCACCCCCACGCCTTCCCCCTTTAAACGGGCGACGGGGGGGGGTAGCGAGGGAGCGCGCGCGCACGCTCTTCTCTTTCCGCCTCCCTTCGTGGGAGCCGCCGCTCATCTTCCCGCCAAAAACTTGCTTCCCTTCCCTTCCCTCCCCCCTCCCCCCGCGGCAGCACCGCACTTTCCTCTCACAAATAAGAATAATACTGTAATAATAACCTTAAAGGCTCCACCAATCCAAAGGGAAGCGCTTCTTCGGGGGCCGCTGATTTGAAGCAGGAGTGTTTTTAGTTTAAAAAAGAGTTCTATCTCGCGTTCCGGGTTTTAAAAGCCTTCCAAACAAACAAACAAACAAAGCACATTAGAAAATCTTTCAAGGTGAAGAATAAAATGGAAGAGTGGAATGAATTTTAATGGGGTGATAGGGGATGCCGTGACCGCTTGAAAACTGGAGGAGCAGCACCTTTTCAGCATCGAAAACACACCTGCACCCCACGAAACAGTGATGGTGCCTGGGGAACGTACTAAGTGTGTGCCTGTCTGTTGGAAAGCCCTTTGCGGTATGGGGTAACCCAGCCAGATGGGCAGAGTGACAATAATAAAATTATTATTATTACTATGGTTGGAATGGCAGACATTTGTTCGTTATGGAACTGTAATGGCACAACCACACGTTCTTTGGTGGTAAATCAAGGTTTTCCACCTTGCAGATCTGTCAGATCTGAGCTCCATGTTTGCTAATATTCCCACTTGCCACAGGGCAAGAAGGATTTAAAAGGGGGAAGCAAGCTTGGTGTAGCAGAGTTCATGCCAAGGAAACCTGGATTTTCCTTATTTCTGTGGTGCTGGGGTCGCACTAAAGGCCTAGGACAGGGGTCTGCAACCTTTAAGACAAAAAGAGCCACTTGGACCCGTTTCCGAAGAAAAACAACTGGGAGCCGCAAAACCATTGCAACATTTAAAGCATGCGCGCCACTGCCCTCCGATCTGACAGCAGGTGGGAAGGTGACGTCGGGACGGTGCGTGACTAACGCACGCACCGCCCCCATGCGACGTTACAGCCAGTAGCCAGTACAGCGCCCGCCACAGTGGGGAGTGTCGGGGCGCACAATGTGCCTCCTCCCCTTGCTAGTATCCGCCCCGGAGCCGCGGCAAAGGTGTAAAAGAGCCACATGCGGCTCCGGAGCCGCGGGTTGCAGACCCCTGTCCTAGGAGAAAGACCAGAAAAAGTGGATTTCTTCTTGCCATAGTGATTTACCTTTTCATGGGTGGCGGGGAGGTCTACAATTTTTCACTGGCCTTCCTATGGCTGCTGGGCTCTTCTCACCTGCCAGCTGGAGGGGAGGTAAGCACCTCCAAGAAGAATTACCAAAGGAGTCTCCCCCAACCTTCCCTATGGGAAAGGCAGAATGGGAGTGTTCCAGCTTCAGCCAGTGCTCTGAAAAGAGATTCCAGTGTCTCTCTACCCAGCAGCAGCTGCAGAGGGACTCTGAGCCTCATTGCCAAGCACCAACCTCTGTCTATTCACCTCGTGTCTCCTGTGGGAAAGAGAGGCAAAGAGTGTGCTTCCAACTCTTTCCTTGTTTTCCTTCCAGTCTTGGGAGCCGGGGATGGGTCAGGGACCGCAATGATGGTACTGGGGCGATCGCCATCCACCTCTGCAGTTGGAAGGAAGGGTTTGGTGGTTTTTTTTGGCTTATCCTTGCTTTGTAGGAGGGTGCTCCATTTGCCATGATCACAGCCTGTGCATATTTAAAGCATCATAAATGTATACAGTACCTAAGAAAATAATGAAGTAGGACTGTACTGCACCTTCTGTGTAGAGGGTAAAGGTACCCCTGCCCGTACGGGCCAGTCTTGACAGACTCTAGGGTTGTGCGCCCATCTCACTCAAGAGGCCGGGGGCCAGCGCTGTCCGGAGACACTTCCGGGTCACGTGGCCAGCGTGACAAAGCTGCATCTGGCGAGCCAGTGCAGCACACGGAAACGCCGTTTACCTTCCCGCCAGTAAGCGGTCCCTATTTATCTACGTGCACCTGGGGGTGCTTTCGAACTGCTATGTTGGCAGGCGCTGGGACCGAGCAATGGGAGCGCACTCTGCCGCGGGGATTCGAACCGCCGACCTTTCGATCGGCAAGCCCTAGGCGCTGAGGCTTTTACCCACAGCGCGTCCCGTGTAGAGGGTGGGCATGGCCAAATAAGTGGATTTCACAAAAGGTGATCTTTGAAAGCTACAACTTTGGAAAAAAACCAAGTAGTTGGAACCAGCAGAGCTGTAAAACAGGAGGGTGCTTCTTGGCAGATACTGCACAATTTAACCATTGCTTGTTACTCTGTAGTTAGGCACACATCAAGGCCATTTGAAAGCAGTTGTCTCCTTCCTGGTGAACAGTAATTTAACATGGGTGGCCATCTGTCATGTACGATCTAGTTAAGATTCCTTCATTGCAGGGGGTTGGACCAGATGACCCTTGGGATACCTTCCAACTCTATAATTCTACAGTTTTGCATGTTTGCTTGTCCTTAGATCTGTGAAGCTGCATGAGTCACTTCTTGAGTGTCTGTTATGTATGGACTCTGCATAGCTGAATGTTGATGAGACGCTGCTGTGCCCCCTGTGAAGTTCTTAATGACATGCTCTGTTTTGAATTGTGAAAAGATTTGCCAGTGAAGGACCCCTTGGTTTATTTTGGCCTCCATTCTCTATTAACTGTTGCAGTTTGTCACAGGAGAGTTTTGCATGCACATTAATATTCATACAAGTACACAAGTTCAGCAGGTAGTAATTGGAACACTTAATTTTACAAGGTGGTTGATGATCTGAATCATCATGGTTTTAGTGCCAATGGATACTTCCTGTTGCACTTTCTGATGTATAGCATTATTGTTACAGAAACTGACACCTGGGAATGCCTTAATCTTGTAGTGCCAACAATATTTTGCCAATAACTCAGTCCAGTTATTAGATCATGGATAGGCAAACTAAGGCCCGGGGGCCTGGATCCACCCCAATCGCCTTCTAAATCCGGCTTGCACACAGTCTGGGAACCAGCGTGTTTTTACATGAGTAGAATGTGTGATTTTATTTAAAATGCATCTCTGGGTTATTTGTGGGGCATAGGAATTCGTTCATATTTTCTCTCTCCAAAATATAGTCCGGCCCCCCACAAGATCTGAGGGACAGTGGACCAGCCCTCTGCTGAAAAAGTTTCCTGACCCCTGCATTAGATGTTGCGCATCAGCCAGGAAAGGTTAAAAACAGTTGAATAGATGCACTGATTGAGGAAGGATTTTTTCCGTAAAAGTTCGAACTACAAGATCTTCATGCACCTGATTGTTCAGGTGTCTAATAAGATGCCTAGGAATATCTAGGAAACAACATAGATATTGGACAGTGATATTATGTGTTCCCTCATCAACATACTGGTCAGTCGACCTCTTCTGCACCAGATGTATTTTCCAAACGCACAAACAGCAGCCCTATTTAGAATCCATTTAATACTCACTAAAGCAGGAGTGGGGAACCTGTTGCCCTTCTTTGACTTTTAGCCATACCTGGCATGGGATAGTGGGAGTTGGAGGCCCTCAGCACCTGGGGGGCCAGAGGTTTCTATCCCTACTGTAAAGAGAGATAGTATTAGAACAATGTATTTGGTGAAAGTTACATCAGTGTGATTGTAACGGCAGTCTGGAAGCGGAGGGAGACGTGGAGAGAAGGCTAACTAGTTCCGCCACCTTGGCTAAGATGATGGAATTATTCCAAAGGGATTTGAGAAGAAATAAATAAAAAGTCCTTCAAGCTGCATAAATAACTTTATTGGAACTTCAAAAAGTAAGATATTCCTCACAATGGAAAGAGAACGATCTGTATTGCTACAGTGGAACCTCGTTTTTTGAGCGCCTCAGAAGCTGAATGATTCGGAAGCCGAATGCCGAAAACCCAGAAGTAATTGCTTCCAAGGCGCGTTCCTCCATTCCTTCAATGGATTTTGCCGACCACCCATTGATCCTCGGTTTTCAAACATTTCGGAAGTTGAACAGTCTTCCAAAACAGATTACGTTTGAAAACCAAGGTGCCACTGTATTACTATGCAGGTCTTGCTCTTTTAATTATTTATAAACTTGAGAAATAGACCAACATTTAAAATTCTTTACAAGTGACTGCTCATATAAAATTGTCACATATATAGCTGAATATATTTTTGGTAGAAGTTGAGTACAAAGTTCAAATTAATATGTGTTTATTGAGGGTCATTAGTAAAGGGCAAACCACTCTCTTCCTGCTGGCGTATATCAGGGCTTTTTCCTTTGTGGTAAAATACATGCCATGTTATCCATAAACTTTTAAAAAAACAACACTTTTTAGGAAACTAATCATGAGTATCTGATGTGAAATCTCGTAAATGACTTTAACAGTTTGTGATGAGCTGGTATGCATTTGATACAGTCATATTAAGGTAAATAATTAGCACTGGATCCACTGCTTGATCAAGCTTGTGAAACTGTCAAACAAGAAGAGGAACTTGTTTTAGATTCATTAAAATTCTTCAGCTGGAAAAAGGAATTTAAGATAAACTGGTCTTTGCTATCTGTTACAACAGATGATGATAAAAGTGCTGCTAATTTTGAAATTATATTGAAAGGAAGTCATGACTTACTTGCATTATGATAGTGGTAAGAATAGCAAGCTAACTTTATATGCATTATTTTTTATGGCTTGAATTCTTAGGTTTGTAAAATTGTAGAATTATCTGTCTTGATGCATGTATTCTGCTCCGATACCAGACAGCCCTTAAAAATATGTCTTGCCTCTACCCCTCGGCCTCTCCTTTTGGGTGGGACCAGGTCTGCCACGAGCAGATAAACTCCCCAGCACACCCTCTAGTTTTGGGCATGTTTGCTCACTTTCCACATGTAGTGAATGATTGGAGACTGTAGTTAGTGGTGTATGTCCTGCTTCTGGTCAAATCCTCTGCTAGGCTAGAATGGGGGCATTCATCTGCCTGAATTACAGTGTATTTTAACTGTTTCAATATGAAATCTAAAACTGAGATTCCTAGAGCTACTTACATTTCACGCCAGCAGTTATCTTAATTTTTGCTTTTCATATATTTTTATCACAATGAAGTTAAGGCAGTTTTCATAATGAGAAGTCTCTATGGGTTGGTTTCATGCAGATATTCTATTTAGGTCTTTGACTATTGTACTGAAACCCTTGAGGTTTGAAAATACAAACCCTGTACTTTGCATAGACTTCAGATGCAGAAGATCCTCTCACATGATTGATATATGATAGCTGGCTGTTACTCTTCCCACCCTTTGTCTCTTGCTGTGTTAACATTTAGAGCAGAGCTTTCCAAATTGTGTGTTGCAGCATGTTAGTGTGTTGGCTGCAGTGTGCGGGTGTGTCGCGTGAAACCTCCCTGTGCTCCCCCAGGGGCTGGAAAGGGGTTAACCTCCGGTTTGCTAAGAAAACTAAATTACTATGTCACAAAATGGTACATGTCTAAAAAGTGTGTCACCAACATGAAAAGTTCTGGTTTAGATTGTAAGTTGTTTGGGCAGGGATGTTAGACTTAAAACTTCCATCAGCTCCATCGGTCATATGTGATGGGATTAGTAGCCCAGCAATACTTGGAGCGCCACAGGGTTCTCACCCCTGTGCAGTTTTTAAAAGTGCTATTGATAATATGTAACAATAAATACTATTTAGCTTTTCAGAGAGGCACACAAACCTGGTGTGATAGCATACTTAGAAATGAAACCTTCTGCCTATTTTTTGCTGTTATCTTTTTTTCCTTTGCATTGTGATGCTTTACATGTAGCACAGTGGCACTATTATCCCTTTGTAGCTCTTCTCCCTGGCGCGTTAGTGTTTTTTTCTCAGCAGTATCTGATTACTCCCTTTGTATTGTGACGACGCCCCCACCCTGAAGATACCCCATTGCATTGCACTTAATTTGGGGGAAAGCTTATGGTATCCACCAGGAAGTGAATTGGATTGAGGTATTCTTGAAACATGTCTGCATTGAAATTTTCTATACTTTTGAGTCAGTCCTGTAATGCTATTCTTGCAGCGTAAGATAAGCTCTGCAAAACATAGTCAGTGGTGTAGAGAATTCTATGCCGACAACATTTTCAGAGTGGTTCAAAGTACATTGCTTGTGGTGGCTTCCTTTAAATTCTGTAAACCCTCCAATGCTTAGGTGTCATTTGGAAGAAATGAAAGTTCTTTTAATTTGGAGTGGGTTCTAGTAGGCAGGGATAGAAAGTGATGTTTAATCACAGTTACATGGGGTTTTGCAACTGATGAATTGTTAACTTGTAACAAATGGTTAGGTTTATGTAGTTTGTAAATCAAAACAATTGCATAGCAGCAGACTTCTCTCTATGTACATGTGGGATATTTTTATCAGATGCAGTTCTGTGCATTGTTACTTGCTGTTGTTTTTAAATAAATTGTACTTATTTGTTTGTTGCTTTAGGTCCAAGAGCTTGTTCTTGACAACTGCAGATCAAATGAAGGCAAAATTGAGGGGCTGTCAGGAGAGTTTATCAACTTGGAGTTTCTTAGTTTAATAAACGTTGGACTGACATCTGTCTTGAATCTCCCTAAACTCCCAAAGTTGAAAAAGGTAAGACCTGGGTGGGAGATGATTGGGTTTTCATAGCTGCACAGTGTTGCTAATTCCCATTTCCATAAATGATCTTATTATGGCTACAAATCAAATGGCTGTTTTCCTCCTTTGCTTTCTAAAATGTAATCATAGATTTAGATATATGCTGAGATCCTGTGCCACTGACACATACCTCTTTCGGTCACGGTCCTTTGTCTTGGGTGTTTTTCTAGACCCAACTCTTGTTTTGGGGCTCAGTCTAGACAAATACCGTATTTTTCGCTCTATAACACGCAGATTTTTGCTCCTAAAAAGGAAGGGGAAATGTCTGTGCGTGTTATGGAGCGAATGTGTGTCCCTGGAGCCGAAAAATGAGGCAAAAATCAAACCGCGCTTCAGGGAGAAGGGAGCTCCGTGAGACAGGAAGCTGCAGCTTTCCTGCATTCTGCCTCAGGGTCTTACTGCCCACCCTGCTCTGTTTCGTTGCTGTGTTTGCTCAAACGGAACAAAGAGCAGGGAAAGCCCCTCCCCTCCAGGCAAGTAGAGAGGAAAGCAGAGCGTCCAAACAAAGAGCAGGGAAAGCCCCTCCCCTCCAGGCAAGTAGAGAGGAGAGCAGAGCGTCGCTCTATCCTGTCCCTGCTCCGGAGGGAACAATGTTTGTAAAGGGAAGAGAGATTACAGGTTCGGCTTAAAATTCTGATTTGACTTCCTGCTTTTTGTTTTTGGAGACACACAGCATTCAAATATGCTTTCTTCCATTTAAAAGGATGAAATCCTTAAACAGTGTTTTGCCTGTAAATTCATGCGATCTGGAAGATTACAGTGTCTGTACCTCTTAAGGGATGGCAAAGCTTAGGTTTCGCTGCTAAATAGTTCTTAATGCAGTTAAAATGCTTTCTTCTGTCATGCTGGTGGGAGGGAGAGAGAGAGAGAGAGAGAGAGAGAGAGAGCACGCTGGCTGGCTTGGGTGGGTTGGGGGGGGGGGAACTTTTGCCTTCCTTTCCTCACATTATAGCCCTCTCCTGCATTCTTAGCCTTCTGTGTTTTTCCTTCCCTCCCCACTTAAAATGTGGTTACAAAGCATGGATCCACATGGATCCTCAGGATCTTTGCATTGGGTCACCCCAAATTCACCATCAGAGCACACAGCATGTCCATGGCTACAGCCTGCCCCCCAAAAATCACACACCCATTGTTGCCTGGGGCTGCAATGGTGCAAAAACGTGGTTACAAAGCATGGATCCACATGGATCCTCAGGATCTTTGCATTGGGTCAGCCAAAATTCACCATCAGAGCACATAGCATGTCCATGGCTACAGCCTGTCCCCCCCCCCAAAAAAAATCACGCACCCACTGTTGCCTGGGGCTGCAATGGTGCAAAAACGTGGTTACAAAGCATGGATCCACATGGATCCTCAGGATCTTTGCATTGGGTCAGCCAAAATTCACCATCAGAGCACATAGCATGTCCATGGCTACAGCCTGTCCCCCCCCCAAAAAAAAATCACGCACCCACTGTTGCCTGGGGCTGCAATGGTGCAAAAACGTGGTTACAAAGCATGGATCCACAGGGATTCTCAGGATTTTTGCATTGGGTCACCCCAAATTCACCATCAGATCACATGTCTGTGGCCACAGCATGAAGCACAAAAATGATACGTCCACTGTTTCATTCAGAATATTTTTTCCCTTGTTTTCCTCCTCTAAAAACGATGTGCGTGTTATGGTCAGGTGCGTGTTATAGAGCGAAAAATACGGTACATAATTGGGCAGGGAGGGGGAAAGGAGCAGATTGCAAAATGAGTCCTAATGAGAGCAGTACTGGAAAAATGAATGAAGTGGATCCAAACACATTTTTAAAATCATTTTGGAGGAAGATAGCAAAGAGGAAGAGATGAAGCAGAAATTGTTACTGTACCTGTTGCTGGTGTTGTGGATCTTGATTAAGATTTGGAGAGTTCAGTGGCAAAAGCACATTGCAATTGCAATCTGCCTTTCAGAATGGTGGCTGTCTATGGAGGTGTGGTTGGGCAAGTTGTGGTACTCATGGGTCACAGTGTTGCTGTGGGTATCAAATATTTGTATTTGATGGCACTTCTTCCCTTCCCTTCCCTTCCTCACCTCACCGCGCGCACACACACACACACACACACACACACCCGGCAAAAAAAGACCCAGAGCTGTGGCAGGATGAGTTGCCTGCAAACTACTTGTTGCAATGGAACCTGTAAGTCAGAGGAGCAGAACTATATACTGCATCATGGTTAGGAGCCAGAGGTGTGAAGGATAGCATATTGTAGCTCATTGAAATAGCAGAAATGGGGAAAGGCTTTAATTTTGTCTTGTCCTTCCAAGCTTCTTGGCTACTCCACTATTAATTACTTTGCATTGTAATTTTGTAGAGGAATGTTATGAAAAGGGGTTGTTTGGGAATAGTGATGTGGACTTTCCATAATTTTTTCCAGTCTCCCAAAGCAATTGGGATTTGATCTAGCATGTTTGACTTCTATTAGTTTCTTAACGTAAATATGACATATTCATTTTATGTGCTCTATAAATATCTCAAAACATTTTTCCAAAAGTACGTGCACTGAGATATTTTGATTAGGGAGAAAATCAGTAAAATACACAATGTGGTTCCAAGTCTTATCTGAAAATTACTTTTTATGATAATAAGTCTAAATATTTTATGACATAATTCAACAGCATACACTTATATGTTTAAATGTTAAGTGGGGAATGAAGGCACTGAAAACTGTTACCACAGAAGTGTGTCACAAAAGGTAGAGTAAGTTTAGAAGGGAGAACAAATCAAATCAGTTTTAGAACTTAGTGTTGTCTGTAGCAAAACCTTGATACCCGTTTTTCCATTAGAAGAGTTCAGTTTGAGGAGAGGTATCTGTAGCATAGAATTTGGTCCTTAGTTCTTTCCCTGCCCAATATTTATTCAAATAGCTCACCCTTCAGCAGAGCTGAAAATACTTATTTGGAGATGCTAATATGTGTGTGGAACTCTGCAAAGGGGAGAGTGATTTGGAGCAGGAAAGTGGTAGGTAGGTTTTTGGTACCAAATTCTGCTCCTGAAACTAGAGTATTTGCATGTAAAGCATAGTCAGCATAAGAAACAATTTAAGGACGTGCTTATAAATGGCTGAGATCTGAGGGCAGGCTTGTTTCACAAGCATTCCCATATTATGCTGGTGGTGCAAGTTGTACATTAGGTTCTTTTATCAGATAATGGATTGATACACAATAAAGATCAAAGTCCACTTAAATCTGCATTGGGTACTTGTACCTGCTTGTTTTATTTGTTATCATTTCCACCTACCCTCCTAAATTTTATTCAGTCCTCATCTCTTAGGTAATTTGGGTGAAACGTAAGATTTTAGCTAGCTCTGAAATACATAGTCAGCTTCCAGATTATATGTCTAATTGGCAGATTTGCAAAGATTTCTGAAGCCATCCCATTAAATGTTGAAGTTAGCCTGTTGCACCCAAGAACCTTAACTATAATCAGAACTTCCTTTATAAGGATTCCATACAAGCACAAAGCTCAATGGGTTGGATCCAGAGAAAATTGAGTGGCGCTCCAAACTCACAACGGTGTTTTTCTGGCTTTCTTGCTCCCTGTGCCCCTGAAAAGCTACTCCTGAGAGTCCAAGGACCATCTGGGATACGCTGGTAGGGGGCACTGGACAGTAGTAGCAGGATGGGAACCAGGAGGAATTTGGTGAGCTTCCCTTGCCAAGTAGATGTGCTTTTTTGCTCATGCAAGACATCTCTGGATCCCAGCTGACCTGGGATTAAAAAAATACATAAAATACATTGTATGGGGGGATTTAAAATGTGGGTAAAGTAAGTAGTAGTTGGCTTCTTGTTGCCATGATGATTTCACTTCCATGAGAGCCAGTGTGGTGTAGTGGTTAAGAGCGGTAGACTCGTAATCTGGTGAACCGGGTTCGCTTCCCCGCTCCTCCACATGCAGCTGCTGGGTGACCTTGGGCCAGTCACACTTCTCTGAAGTCTTTCAGCCCCACTCACCTCATAGAGTGTTTGTTGTGGGGGAGGAAGGGAAAGGAGGTTGTTAGCCGCTTTGAGACTCCTTCGGGTAGTGATAAAGCGGGATATCAAATCCAAACTCTTCTTCTTCTTCATTCATGCTACTCAACATCCCTCTTACACACTTAACTAATTTTTCTACCAACCTACCTCTAATAAGCAGGGGAAATAGTGTATATTAAACCTATATGCAAATATATTTCTTGCAAGGAAACACTACATTTTCTTGGTATGGTATGTGGTGTGGAACACACACACACACACACACACACACACACACGTATTAGTTGCTCCTGTGGATAGAGCATATTTAGAATGAGAGGTATTGAACAACTAACATTTTGATAAAGGAATGTAGCTGAATTGGGATCCTCTCTGTTTTTTTAAAGAAAAATGTCAAGATGGGAGACGATAATCTCAGTCTAGACCAGGATTCCAGTTCAGGAATGTGCTGCTAGGGAAGCCAACATTTTTTGCTTGCTTGTTGGAGCTTACATGCAAGCGAAATGGGCATGCTAACTAAAATACACGTAGAGTAGAAAGAATGAGAATAGGGCCTTTCACAGTTGCTTCACAAGTAAAATATTTTGTTAAGGAAGTTGTCTGTGTGTATATGTGCAAGACTGATAGTGCTAAATGGCTACCGCATATAAAGTTAAAATGTGAATTTTTAAAATTAGCATGGTTGGCCATCATCTTAAATCTTTACACCCCAAAACTAAATTGTACACTTTGATTTCAAACTTAGTGCCCCCCAGGTGGTCAACTGTAGAAACGCTGATTTGGCAAAGGCAAGTTCATTGACCTCATGGAATTACCGTATTTTTCGCTCTATAAGACGCACCAGACCAGAAGACGCACCTAGTTTTTGGAGGAGGAAAACAAGAAAAAAAAAATTCTGAATCTCAGAAGCCAGAACAGCAAGAGGGATCGCTGCGCAGTGAAAGCAGCGATCCCTCTTGCTGTTCTGGCTTCTGGGATAGCTGCGCAGCCTGCATTCGCTCCATAAGACGCACACACATTTCCCCTTACTTTTTAGGAGGGGAAAAGTGAGTCTTATAGAGCAAAAAATACAGTAAGTACTGTACAAGGATTGTTAGTTTTGGTAGTTCCCTAATTCAGCTTTACATTAATTCAGCAATCTTGTTGCCCGCTGAAATAGCACCTTGTTCAGATTCTCTCATGACAACATATCAATACTGTGGGTATGGTCCAGCTAAAAGTTAAGGAGCTGTAAGTCCTATTGATTTCAATGATGACTGAGGATTAAGATAAATTTAAGAGCCATTGGACTTAATCTCAGGAAAGTGGGTATAGGATTGGAGCTTAAATGCCAAATTACATGGCAAGTGGTGCTGCTCGTTGTCCCCTGTGTTGCAGAGGCTTTATTTCCCTCCACTAGAAGTCAGGTATTTAGAGTTTCTGGTCCCATGCTGTGAAACATTCTTCAAGCAGAGATTTGGCAGGCATTCTTGCTTTTCATTTTCAAGTGTCTCTTGAAGACATCTATTTATATAGACAGGCATATGCAACTATTGAATGGTACTTTTTTAAATCAGCCAGTCATTTTAATATTCCCCTACTTTTAAAATGTTTTTTTTTTAAATTGCGTATACTGTGTACACCACTAGATTGTATTTTATGAAGTGGTGGTATATAAGTACTTTTATAAATAAATAATACCATGCTATAGCAACCTAAACATTTAGCTTCCATCCTAAACACATAGTAATGAGTAAGACCCATTGAACCATGGGTCTTACATCCCAGTAGATATGCATATAATTACATTGTTGGTGCCTTTTGTTTATTTGCAGGAGGAACAGAATAATTGTATAGAATGTATTTTACTGCACCAACTCCAATAACTTTCATTTATTTCAGCATTTCAGTATGTTCAGGCTTTTTCATCTGATGTATGTTTTGGAGCAAAGTGATTTTTTAAAAAAGAAGAGGCTGTTATGTAACCATGTTTGACCATGAGGCTTCTCTTAAGAAAATGGCTGAGCAACAGAGCTGTATTTGTGTTAGGTGTAATCATCAAAAACCTAGGTCAGCAATTTTGTTAGCCTTGGAAAAACATAGGGCCCATTTACTCTACAGACTTAGCCTAGAATGCTATGTGCACACTTACCTGGGAGTAATTATGATTGAACTTAATAGGACTTGCATAGGATTGCACAGGTAAAACTGTGTTCATAATCCTTCCCGCTTCACAGTCAGCCTTGGGAACTGAAGTCCTTGAAAGGCAAAGGAACTTCTAACAAAGAATTTCTAGCACCTCATTAAAGTTCAGTTCCTGGGATTCACTGGAAACAATGACAGCTAAACTGGTAGAAAACCAGTTCAGATTGGTAATGTATATTATACCCATAGCTGAATGTATATGTTTCATTCTGTGAAAGACTGGAGCCATTAGGACAGACATGGGGAATTTATACTCCACTAGGCCTCGTAAACTGGCCCCCCAAGTTTGCTCCTTCCAAACCATGCCCCCTCCCCATCCCACAGTGAACAGGTCATGCAGGAAGAGATCTTGAAGTCAAACTGAATGAGGGAAAATACATATATATGCTTTGGCCTCACCCTCTTTGGATATGCAACAATTTCCTCCCTGCACCCCCCCCCAAGGAAATTCGGCCCTTGGGGCAAGGGGAGGTTTCCCACTGCATGCAGTGATGTAGCAACCTCTTCCTGATGTAAGCTAACATGGTGTAATTGGGAATATTTATTACAGCATTGCACTGCAACTCAGTGAGCACAAATTTCTACCTTCTATTGCCATATATTTTTATGAATGCTTTTTGTGGGGGCGGGCAGGCAAGCATAAATTTAAGTATTGATCTGGATAAATATTATTTGAATCTCAGCCTTGTGAATGTTTTGCTTTTAACTAACTGCACTGTTGCTGATATGTTCACTATTTTGCCTTTTGTGGTTCCTGTTGCAGCTTGAACTCAGTGACAACCGAATTTCTGGAGGTCTTGATGTATTAGCAGAAAAACTTCCAAACCTCACACATCTAAACCTCAGTGGAAACAAGCTGAAGGATATCAGTACCTTGGAGCCATTGGTATGTTCTTAATGGGTTAAAAAAAATCTTATGCCTCTCTGGGGTTTAAATGCAGAGATTATCATTCAAAAGAGGGCCTTTTCCCCAAAACGGCAGTCTACAGTTTGATACCAACATAGATGCCTTGCTTAGTGCATTTTTGTGGGCACTAAGTAAATGTATGACCAAATCAAGACACCTGAAGCAAGCAAATATACCACTTATGACATTTCATAGCTGATGCTCTAGTTCTCAAACATATTGGCCCCAAACATACTGACCCTAATCCAGCTTTAGTAATGAGCAACAAGTAAGCCCCTGGATGGGGATACGCTTCCCCATCTGCTTCAAAAGATGTATCTAGCAAGGTCAGCAGAGGCCAAATGAACATTTCAATGTGTGTGCATTTTCCAGATTCAAATCTACATCAGCTACATAGGCAGAAGCCAAGTTAGCATTTATATCTTAAGCCCATATCCCATTACTTTTAGTAATGAATGTTTTCATGTTAACCTTTTTAGTTTATTGGTTTCAGTCAAATTAGACTCCCCTTTCTGTGTCTGGCAGATTTTGATTTTATATCTGATTTGTCTATAAAAACGCATGTTATCAGAACATTTAATTCCATACTTCAGCCATGATGCTGTGCAGTCAAGAATTCTAAACTCAGTTGCTACAAATTCACTTGCCATCTATTCTCTTTGGCAGAATGAGTTAAAATAGGAATTGTGTGTTGCCTGTTGTGCAGCATAACTTCATTGTTGTCAAACATGGAACATATTGAATGGAAATTATGACAAAACCTCATATTCTGTTTGTTGTACCTTGTTTCTTCAAGGATTTCCTAAAATTACTAGCCAAGGAAGTTGTATTAATCTATAAATTATGTTAGTAGCATCAAGTCAAATTAGAAGTGGATTTGCTTTTATTCCAGATAGTAGATTCATTTTGCTGCTTAGTACCTGTTTGCTAATGATATCATAACTCAGGCAAGCCTCTTAATTTCTCCATGCAAAAATGGAATATTTAAAGGCAGTTTATATGGTGTCTAGAATCAAGCAGCAATACTTACCTTAGACTGTACTGCTTTAGCATGCAGGTGGCAGATGTTGTTGCTGATACATTGTTTATTTTATATGAAGGAAGTCCAGAAAGTTTTACCAATTTATTTACTGATTTTTTTAAAAAGACTGTTTCTTAGGTAGACTCATAGATCTGTAGAGTTTGAAGGGACTGCGGTGATCATCTAGTCTGACCCCTTGCAATGCAAGAATCTTTCACTCAACATGGGCCTTGAACCCACAACCCTGAGGTTTATTTTTGTTTGAATTAATTTTTCAAAGGAGCACCTTTTATGAGGTGATTCATGAGTTACAATTGTCTCCAGGTGAATTTCCAGTCATCTGAGTTTCTGGTTCATTGCACGGAGAGGAACTTGTAGATGTAGAGTGTAATAATGATACTTAATAACATTATATAGAGCTTTAAAATGCTCAAAGTGCTTCACATATATTCCTCAGTTACTGTGTATCTTTACAAGTTTTTTATAAAGTAGATCAAGATTAAACCCATACTGCAGGTGGAGTTCACCTGCAGTACAGTGGTACCTCGGGTTAAGTACTTAATTCGTTCCGGAGGTGCGTTCTTAACCTGAAACTGTTCTTAACCTGAAGCACCCCTTTAGCTAATGGGGCCTCCTGCTGCTGCCGTGCCGCTGGAGCACAATTTCTGTTCTCATCCTGAAGCAAAGTTCTTAACGTAAGGTAATATTTTTGGGTTAGCTGAGTCTGTAACCTGAAGCGTATGTAACCCAAGGTACCGCTGTAGAGGCAAAATAGTGTACCAAACAAGGAAAGAGTTGATTCCACCCATGTAAGATCCAATGTGATTAGGCCAAAATATCCCCCCATTTCGAAGATAACTAGATAACTGCTTCAGCTAGTTGTTCGGTATTTTCCTCACAAAAGTATTAGGATGAAGCACCTGAAAATCAACTTCCATGTTACCAAGTTTTAGGCAGAGCCGTGACAAACATACCGTCCCTGTCCCCCCAATTATCCAGTGGTTCCTTCTTGTCCATGCAATAAGAACTTGACTTGTTTACAATTTTAGAAAAAATTGGACTCTCTGAAGAGCCTTGATCTGTTCAACTGCGAGGTGACAAACTTAAATGACTACCGAGAGAGTGTCTTCAAGCTCCTTCCTCAGCTCACCTACCTGGATGGATATGATCAGGAAGATAAAGAAGCCTCTGACTCAGATTGTGAAGTAGATGGCGTTGATGAGGAAGACGAGGAAGGTGAAGAAGGTGAGGACAGGCATTGTTACTTTTGGGTGGAGAATGTCCAATTCCTAGCTATTGTCTCCAATCTAAAAATTGCACTTGGCTCATTTTCGTCTAGAATTTTAATTGCAGAAGGACTGGTGCTGAGTTAAGATGGCACATTATATACTCATATCCTTCTGAAATGTGCTGGCACCATAACTCAGACAAAAAATGCTATAGCCACCTCTTAAGACTTCCCTTAAGTCACATTGCAAGTGTGTATTGAATATACCCACTTATGTAGTTGGGAATTCTGTTTGTTCGTGTATTCTTGTTATTTGTTAGTCTCCTAATTATGATTATTATTAAATTTGTTGATCACTGCAGTGTTTAGCCACCATACAGTACAAAGTTTAAACAATACAATAGGTATGTTAAGACAGTTACAAACTTTTCTAACTTTTAGAAAAATGTAGGTTAACTATAAGGAAAGTTATAGAAACCATTTCTTTCTCAGAAGGTGAGGAAGAAGATGAAGAAGAGGAGGAAGATGGTGAGGAGGAGGAGTTTGATGAGGAAGATGAGGATGAAGAAGGAGAAGAAGGAGAAGACGAAGAAGACGAAATCAGCGGAGAGGTTAGTTAAAAGTATTTCCTGCTTTTATGCTTTCTGTGTTGAAACCTTAGAGGCTTATCTGCCAAGTAGCAAAAAGAGTAACTGGATATGCCTGCCTGCTTGCTTGGAGGTGAAATTGCTGAGTGATGTTTGAGCGGCGTCCTTATGGTATGACCTGGCAAAGGCAGCTGGAACAGTGAGCGGGCTGCCCACTACCAGAATAACTGAAATAATGCAACCTTTTATTCTGGATTACCCAATTTATGTTCTGTCATTGATCTGCCTCTGCGTGTTGCACACTGTCTGGCTGCTGCTTGGTTGCAAGCTTCGGCCAAGGTGACAGTAAAGAGACTTGGCTACAGCAGCATGCATCACTGCTTCTCTGCTGATGTCATCCAGTGTCTTTCGTCACCCAGCAGAGATTGAGAATACCTCCTTCCAGGAGGCATCATGCAAATGGGAGGAAAAGTGCTACTCTTTCAGTTGCAAACATGCTTATCTTTTCAGGAGGAAGAGTTTGGACGTGATGGGGAAGAGGAGGAGGAGGACGAGGAAGAAGAGGAGGAGGAAGGTATGCTCAAAGTTTCAAACCAATTCCTTAATTATATGAATCTCCAGGATGGCAGCATATGGATGCGAGTGGGATGAAGAGGACAAGGATAGAAGGCGACAGAAAGTATTTTAGATGCTTAGCCCAGCCCATCCAAAATATTGTGCTAAGTAAAGCCGTTCCATTTTAGATGGGAAGTGCAAGTAAAGACAGTGAGGGTGTGCGGCTCTAGATTTTCCCCCTATTGCTTTGGTTGTTGGGGTGCAAGCCTTGGTGGCTGTGGCCAACCAGTGGCCTCCAAACCCTTAAAGGTGGGAGGTACTTGGTCCTTGTTGAGCTTCCTTCAACTGAGTAAGCCACTGTGCTATTAAACTACAGTGGTGCCTCGCAAGACGAAATTAATCCGTTCCGCGAGTCTCTTCGTCTTGCGGTTTTTTCGTCTTGCGAAGCACGGTTATTAGCGGCTTAGCGGCTATTAGCGGCTTTAAGAAAAAGGAAACAAACTCGCAAGAACTCGCAAGACGTTTCATCTTGCGAAGCAAGCCCATAGGGAAATTTGTCTTGCGGAACGACTCAAAAAAGGGAAAACCCTTTCGTCTAGCGAGTTTTTCGTCCTGCGAGGCATTCGTCTTGCGGGGCACCACTGTACTGAAATGCTAGAATTGGAGACTTTGCTGGAGTCCAGAATAAGTTTATGGGATAATACAGTTGTACTGCTGCCCTTTTGTCAGATGATGAAATGTTCCCCCCCCCCTCTGGTCATTGTACAGATGAAGAAGAAAGTGGGAAAGGTGAAAAGAGAAAAAGAGAAGCAGATGACGAAGGGGATGAAGAAGATGACTAAGGCCTTCTGTGTCCCCAAAGGACTGTTCAGTATTGCTTGGGCCACCCCTTGGATGATCTGTGACTTGAGGAGCACTTGAGGCACATTGTAGTTGTCTAAACAAGCCCCCTCCCCCCTCGGGTGCAGCACTCAAAGAGCCAAAGAGTCGGCCTTTCCTGTGACATTCCACATACCCTGCAGCTGATCTCCTCCAGGTGGTTACAGATCTAGCCCTCTTGGGCTAGCACCTTCACTTATCCCCTTGGGGTTCCCAGGCCTTCATCTCCCACTGTTGCCATAGCAAGAAGAACGAGTGTGATGGGTCAGTCCTGGTTGTCAGGGGCTACACACTACCCACTGACTGTAGTCCCTTTTTTACTTTCTGTGCAAAAAGGCTTTGTAAATAGAGTCCTAATGTTTTGGGGACTGTTCTTCATGCTTCGCTTTCCCTGCCTTCCTTTTCTTTTTCTAAGCTGTTGGATATTTTTTACATTAGGATGTTTTATGCAACAACAGAAAAGTATTTTTAAGAACTTGAAATGAAATAAACGTTATTTGGTAAACTAATCTTGCAAAGTTGTTATGTTCAGACTTAATCTGAAATTCTGTGGCCTTCTCATTTCTCTAAAACCACATTATGGGCAGGGTTGTGTATACTCTGCATTAATTTTTTTAAAAAAATTGTACCAGCAGAAGCTAGATTCCTTGACCCATGTCAATTCCTTGGTTTACATAATTTATTCTGCTTCTGCTAGTCAAGGAGATGAACAATGAATTACGTGGGATATTGAAGCCATAACCACTAGAAATCTTCAGACCTTACAAGGATTTTAGCCACAGATTTAAAAACCTACCTTATTGCCCATTAAGGATGGACTTTTTAAAAATGAAAACTAAGATTTTCAGGTTGCTGATTTCCATAGTCAATACCAAATTTTGTGATTTTTTTGTGTGTGCTCGTAGTAAACTGTAGAAGACACCCAGTGCAGAAGACACCCTTTATTCTTAAATGCAGTGATTGAAGTTGATCTTTTACACCCACTTTGCAAATAATATTGCCCTAAATCCCTGAACCACAATAATACATTTTGAAAAAAGATAGGATTGGTTCTTATCTTGGTATTTTTTGGCCACAAAGGGCCATACCCATGTGCAAAATCTTTAAAAGAAGATTCACATATGCTCAGATTGTAAAGGATATACCAGCAAGCCACCCCATCTTTTACTTCTTGGCATGTTTTACATGGACAAAAAAACGTGGTATGGCCTGGCCACTCTTGCGTTACAAAATAACGTGATTTGTGTACATGATTAATGATGCAGTACTGTACACACTTACATGGAAATTAATCCCATTAATCTCAGTGGGGCTTATTTCTCTGTATACACGCATATAGGGTTGCAGAATATGCAACATGGAAATGAGCTCTTACAGCTCAATCCTATACATTTCTACGCAGAAGTTCCACTGAGTTCAGTGGGGCTTACTCTCAGGTAAGTAGGTATAAAATTACAACCTAGCCATACAAAATGCATATAATGAAAGTGAACTTGACCTTTAAACAGACTAGGCTGAAAGCTGTTAATTGGAGCTTTACTTCTCATGTAGTGAGGCATTCTAACATGACCTTGCCTCCAATTTCAGATTGAATTAAATGCAGGAAATGGCTGGGATCCACCTGTATTTCCCCCAGCCTCTCCAAATGTGTCCCAGAGAGTTCCCCAACCCCCCACAGCAGGTTGGGGGGGGCTGCAAGAGTGTGAGGAGTAGAAATCTTTGTTCTGTTTGTGCTCAGACACAATTGGATGTGGCTCTTTCACGTCATTCTGTTCTGAAGTTAACAATATCAAAGAGTTGAAAGGGATCCGGTGGCCAAGGGACAAAAATAAATCGGGAAATACGTCTCTTTGGAACTAATGTTCATATTGATATGCTGTTGGTAGTGATAGATACAGCAACAATAAATAAAGGAGTGAGACTCTTTTGCCCAGGATATGTATATGCTGAAAATCAAATTCCAAATCAAAAGCTGCATTCTGTAACCTGTATAAACTATGCAAATGTATGCAGTTTTGTGTAGACATTTTTGGTTTTGCAAGTAACGGAGGGGGGAAAGGAGCTTTCTGTAGCGCACTGAAACTTCAGCTACTGACCATGGGCAATATATTAGCTACACTTCTGGTAGATGAGATTCTGTAGGCACTTGTAGTTTCAAAACATAATCTGTGGCCTAATAGCCGGTCTCTTTTTGCTTTTAATTGAAAGCTGAGGTTCTCAGGAAGCAGAATTCTGTGCCCTGTGTCACATTCTGTGCTCCTCTGGAATTGTAGTAGAGACTCCTTGGTTAGTATATCACAGGAGCTAGTGATATACTAGAACACATATACATGTTGGGTACCAGCCAATTTAAGAAAAGAGGTGTTTGTGAACAGAAAATTACTGCTCCATTTTGAGTTTCTTTTTAAGTTATGTGGCTATCTTGGTTTGATAGCTCCTGGGCTGTATGTATGTGTAGAAGAGAAAAACCTGAAACAATGTGTTTTTTAATTGGCTGTTTTGACAGGGTGGGAGGAGACTGAAACCAGCTTCCTTACTCTTCTTTCTCAAAGAGGTATTTGATGGGATTCCAGCCCAAGTGGGTGGAAAACCTTCTATGTAAAACTACTTGTGCATATGATTCCCCATCTTGCTGTGCCTAAATGGACAGGCAGCTTGTCATTTAAGAATAAAGTGTGTGTTTCTCATATTGTTGATGTGCCACAGATTACTTGCACTGATACGCATGGTCGGTAGCACTAGTAAAAACTAGGCTACTAGCTTTTTGTGGACTTGGTTGCATGGCTGGCATGGAATCTAACTGGATCAGAGTAATACATTCGGATATTTGTTTTGGTTTAAGGATTGAATCCCATTGAATCTACTTTCTTACTGAAACCAATCAGCTGTTAAGAGTGTTTAACTTTGGCTGGATCATTCCTTGAGCAATTGTGACCAGTCAAATATCTTTCAGGTATGCCCTCCCCCCAACTGTATTCTGAATGATTTACTTCCTTTTAAATGAAGATAACAAAAAACTGAAGAATTCTGTCAATCATTAAATATAGTTAGGCACTGTTTAATAAAGCGTAACCAGTTTGCTATTACTGTATAATATTTTCTTTTCATTTCTTTCCCTCCAACATACATGAGTAAAGCATTGCTTTAAAATGCACTATCTCCAAGGTTTACATAGAACAGAGAAGTGATACGTTAAAAAATAGCTTTCAAGTGCTGAATTACTCATTTTCTGAAAGGTTACCAGTAAACATAATGCAGTAATTTTTTTTCAAGTAGATTTAGGATTGAGGAATCCCCTTGATAAATGGCTAACATTGCTGTCTGTTGATCAGATAAAATGCATAAAAACAAGCAAAAAATCATTTAAAGGTACACTTTAAAAATGTGTTTTGAAACTTAACTTTCCCTTTGCCTTAGCTGACTACTACTATAAATAATTTATTCTGCATTGTAAACAAGGAAAGAGAGCAATCCCACAAATTGCAGGGGGTGGTGGCCAGCATTAGTCATAATCAAGGTAGACCCACTGGAATTAATTGACTTGTCCATTGATATGAATGAGTCTACCCTAAGTATGACTAACAATCATTTTTCTCCATCCTGATTGGGACTATCTGCACATGTATCCTTAGCTGGAGGTATTAGAGCCTGTGCCAACGGATTCTGCGTGGATGGTGCCCTAGTCCCATCCCTGTTAAAAATAAATGCTGGATCCCTGCTTGTCAGTTGTTTGGGATAAGGGAACAGGAATCTGGATTCAGTCCCCCTTGTCAACCAGCGAAAAGGCTACACAGCAGTCTCATGCTGTTGGACTGCAACAATAAACTGTTAGCAACAGCTAGATAAAACTGATCACTCGGCTTTTTTTAGGGGCAGTGGGCAGGAGAGAGAAAATCTCTGAGATTAGCAGTAGAGGGTGGATATCCCCATTGTGCCCCGATTGTGAACATAATGGCTAGTCACATTTGGGAGAGACAACATGATCTAGACTGTCCAATGGACAGTCAGCATGACTATTAAAAGTTCCTAATAGATCACGGCCCTCTGGAATGAAGTGTGGAGACACTAGTTTTTAAAAGGACTGGATAAAAGTCCACGAGCAATGGGTATAAAATACTCTTTAATATTCAGAGGTCAGTTTAAAAGTGTAAAAGCTTGGTATCCAAGTAAGGTTGACTTTCCTACAGGTTTCATGATGCCTCTTGCACTGTTCTGACCACCAGAGTAGCAAAGCCACAATTAAGACAGCTTTTCTGGGCTTGTAGCACTTCAGACTGAAGTGGAGGAATCGCCTGAATGCGCTCCCTATGTAAGCATATGCACATAGAAAAGGCGTTATGGCCAAGAGAAAGCTAGGCTAGATTCTTGATATGATAACTTTGTATACACAGGAACTATCCAACCCTCTTCCTGAATAGTGCAATCCAGGCGAAACTGCACTGTTGCTTCTATAGGTAGGATATGAGAGGCGTTACTCCCCAGCAACAAGCACTGGCAGATTTAATGCTAAGGTTAAAATTTTTTGAAAGCAAGATGGGGAGAGGCATGCCTGGGCAGAGTTTTATCAAGCCATTGGGGATTGCTGCAATTAAAAGCAGGCCTTTGGAGTGGTTTTTGAACTGGTAATTATTGGTCTTTCTGAGAAGCTATGCGGAAAGTGAATGAAGCGGGGAAATCTAGCTGAAGATAGAAGAATGTGAGCACTGTAGGCCCGGTGTAACAGTGACCGGACTTGGGTGTGCTGCCCAGTGTTGCCCTTGCTCTCACTCCTGAACAACTCTTGAGTTTTCCCCAACTAGCCAGGGCAATGGGGGTTTTATGATTTTATGATGAGCAGGGCTGCTTGCGTTTCTTCAAGCCCCAGCTCCTGACATCGCGGGAGCCCAACCATTTTTTTGTTTTTCAGCAACAGGTCTTAACTTTCAGGACTTAGGGAGAAGTGCTTTAAAGGTATCCCGCCAGAAGACTCACCCCCCCCTGCTCCCAAAGACTCATCCCTTTGCTGTCCCAGGGCTTCACAGTCTTTGGATATTTCAGGTGGTCAGCCCCGAGACCAGCAAGGAGAATTACGCGGATGGCAGTGCTTTGCATAGACTTGTGTGGGAATCGGCAGGCAATGGAAGATCAGGCAAAGCATCGGTCGTAGGTATCGGAGCAGAAGATGGGAAACCGTTTGAAAGAAGAGCCTTGTGATTTTGCAAAAGCGTAGTCCTAGAAACAGGCTCTGAACCAGATGAAATGGGGAAGGACGGAATATTCTATAAGATGAGCTGGACACTGGATGTCTGAACTCCTTTCTGGACACTGCCCTGCAATGTCCCATGTTAATTCTGGCAACAATATTCAGTGGAAAAGTGACTGAGGGAAGAAGCAACTAGTGGAAGGTTGGGTTTGAGGCAACTGGAAGGAAGCCAGTTCAGAGAATTGGTCCTCAGTCTATTGTTGGCTTAAGGCATGAAGTGATCCTGGGAAAATATGGGTGAAGTTGGAAGATGACTGTATTGACAGGAGCTGCAGATATGATCTGGTTACGACCTGGTCTGCCTCACAAGGCTCAACAATGAAACATCCCTTTCAAAAGCTTGGCTTTTGAAATCAGTACCGCTTTATAACCAAACAAACATTCCTGATTTTGCCTTTACTGATTACAGACTCCCATTTCTTTGCTCCTCACCTCTTGAGTGCAACCATATTTGCAAAGGAAAACCCATAAAACTAAGGGAAGCGGATGACTTAGACATGCCCCCCCCAAACCATCATCGACCACAAGAGAGACAAAAGTAATTCAGTGTAGAAACAGCCTGCTCTGTTCAGCTCCGGGGAGGAACAGGGAAGAGTCCTGAGCCACTTCGCCTTCATGTTGCAACGGGTCATTGTTGGACAGCCTGGACGAGTCAAAACCATCACAAGGCCAAGCTCAGATGGGCACCGGGGACTTGGAAGATGCCCTCGCTGCTCCTCAATGAAGTACCAGGCACACACAGGCACAAGGGAGCTGATGGAGCCTCTGCCTTCACACTGAGACTTCCCAGAGTGACTCGGGGACCACTTTCAAACCAGTTCGTTCTCTGGTTCAAAGAAGGCGGCCAGTAAACAAAGCACCCGTAAGAATCCCAGCGGCCTCTGGCTTCCAGAAAATGGGCACTTGAGGCAGGCAATGAGTTGCCTATAAGATCTCAAGTCCTCCTAATCCAAAATCTCCCCGCAGTAGTACTTGGAGGCAACCATTGTCCTGGAGTCTGAACCGCCTCCAAAGGCTGCCAAGCGACGTCCCGTCAGAACCTGCCGGAATCCATGCGAAGGTTTTTAATCTCCAGCTCCAGCTGTTTGATCTGCACGTCCCGCTGAATCGTCAGTTCGCGGAGCCTCCGGATTTCTTCCTGCTGCCGGTAAAACATCTGCAGCAGCTGGAAACCAGAGGTTTCACAAGTCACTATGCTATCTATAGCCACCACGATTTTTTTAACCATCCGACGTCTATTTGAAACTGTATAGATCAGCGGTGGCCAAACTCGTGACTCTGGTAAGACATTTTAAGAGGCCCTGGCAGCCCCAAAGGTGAGTGCAGCTAATTAATTAATTAAAAAATAATTATACCCTGCCCATCTGACTGGGTTGCCCCAGCTTGTGCAGTGCTGAACAAGCCACAGCCATTGAGAGCAAGCCATTGAGTGCTCCAGAAACAGGAAGGAACGCTCTGATTATTTCCCAAGTGCTGGTGAAACATCCTTTTCTGTTTCCAGGGTACCCTGACCTGCTCCTAATGATGGTGGGTTGTTTAGCTGTAGCCATGCCAAAACTGATCCCAAGGGTATGATGGGAGAGGTTTCATCTCTCATGACTAGGGGGAAAGAACTCAATTATAAGAGGCTTGAGAATTTTACAAGTTTCCCTAAGTATGCCAAAGTTAAAGGTAAAGGTAAAGGTACCCCTGCCCGTACGGGCCAGTCTTGACAGACTCTAGGGTTGTGTGCCCATCTCACTCAAGAGGCCGGGGGCCAGCGCTGTCCGGAGACACTTCCGGGTCACGTGGCCAGCGTGACATCGCTGCTCTGGCGAGCCAGAGCCGCACACGGAAACACCGTTTACCTTCCCGCTAGTAAGCGGTCCCTATTTATCTACTTGCACCCAGGAGTGCTTTCGAACTGCTAGGTTGGCAGGCGCTGGAACCGAACAACGGGAGCGCACCCCATCGCGGGGATTCGAACCGCCGACCTTTCGATCAGCAAGCCCTAGGCACTGAGGCTTTTACCCACAGCGCCACCCGCGTCCATGCCAAAGTTAATGAGCCTTCATTAGTAATTTTAAGATACGCGAGTTCCTCCAAAGGAGTGGTGCCCAAACCTCCCCCTGCCCCATGAACCACTTGAAAATTGGCGAGGGTCCTGGCGGACCACTAAATGATTTTTCTGCCCCCTGTAGGAATTGTAGTGCACTGTAGGATGCTGTAGGATCTTTAATCCTATTTTATTTCTTGCATTGCATTTTGTTGCATTACAGTTAGAATTCCACACTGACTTTTTTCTCGCTGCTTCCTCCCGCTCGCTCTTTTGTGTTGCTAATCCTCTCCACAATATTCAATGGTTTCCCACCCTGTTACTTCTGACATGTCCCGCTCACCTAGGTGGACCATCAGTTTCTAAGAACGATGGAGCAGGCGCTGTGCCTGCCGTCCTTAGCAGACACAACACAGACCGCATGAATGAAGCTCAGCTGAAGTTTGGAAGCCCCTGCTCTGGAGTACTGATATTATCTCAGTTCTGGGAGGTGGAATGGCCCTGTATGGGTGTGATATACGTGCAGGCTGTGTGTGCATGAGCCCCACTGAAGGGCGGGCAGACTGTGAATGTGGGTCTTGGGTTAAAAAATATTAGTGCCCTCTCCACCCACCCCGGTAGGGCTGGCCAATGCCAGCTTTTCAACAACACAGTGTATCACCAGCCAAACAGTGCAGTCTGGTGATATACCGCAATGTTGAAAAGATGCATTGGCCTCTGCCCGCGAGACACCAGGTGAAACTGCCCCAGCTCTCACCTAGAGAGCTGAGGAGGTTTCACCCCGGCTTGCAGGCTGGGACAATGCAGCTTTTGTTTGCACAACTCAGCTGAGGAATCAGGAAGGTTCTCCCTCCCCACCTGAGATAGCCCCAGTGCTCTTGCGGCTTGCCCACAAGCGGGGCAAGCTTGCAACTGCGCTCCTCTCATCTGAGCAGTTTCACAGAGCCCCCACCCCACTCCACCGTCTGCTTGCAGGAGCCAGCGCTGGGCTGGGGTCTCCTTTAACTGCTCAACTGAGGCAAGGGCAGCTACATACTCCTCAGTTGAGCAGTTTAAATATGCAGAGGGAGGAACAAGCTGTATTGGCGCCTTGCCCAACTAGGCAAGCCCTCACTCCTTGTACTGCTTTGCAAACCCTGAGAAAGGGGACTTTCCTTGCTCTGGACTCACAGCTAGCCAATTTCCAGCTTAGGTAAAGGTAAAGGGACCCCTGACCATTAGGTCCAGTCGTGGCGACTCTGGGGTTGCGGCACTCATCTCGCTTTATTGGCCGAGGGAGCCGGCGTACAGCTTCCGGGTCATGTGGCCAGCATGACTAAGCCGCTTCTGGCGAACCAGAGCAGTGCACGGAAACACTGTTTACCTTCCTGCCGGAGCGGTACCTATTTATCATTTTATCTACTTGCACTACTTGCACTTTGACGTGCTTTCGAACTGCTAAGTTGGCAGGAGCAGGGACCGAGCAACGGGAGCTGACCCCCTCGCAGGGATTCGAACCGCCGACCTTCTGATCGGCAAGTCCTAGGCTCTGTGGTTTAACCAGAGCAGTGCACGGAAACACCGTTTAGCTTCCCGCCGGAGCGGTAGCACCCACTTTAAGCTGTTCATCTTGACTTGCCAACAAGGCTTCTTCTCTCTTTCATACCTCGTTTTCTGTTTTGGGCGGAGGACACTCAAAAACATCAAAGCCGTTCGACAGCCCGATTTTCCTGTCTTCTGGCCCCCTCTCCTCGGCCTTCCAGTACCCCCATCTCTCTTGCACCCTGCTTGGCTTCTCAATGATGTCTGCCACCCTGGTCCGCAGCTGGGCAGGCTCTGTGGCTTCCAGCACTGTCTCCTTCGCAGGGAGTGGCGGCAAAGAGTTCAAGATGACCGAGCCTGGTCTCAGAGACATCAAGACGGGGCCTGCGGGCAACAGGAAGGCACATTTGACACAAAGATCAGGAAGATCAGAGGATTTCAGAGCAGACACTGAAGACTCACAGAGGTTTTTAGAACCAGGCCAGTGAATGACAGAAAGAAGCAGATTTCACTCAGTCCAATAATGAAGCCTGTGAGGACTGATATACTTTGCAGTAGAGAAAGTACACACGACTAGGGCTGGCCGATATCAGATTTTCTTTTTTTCTTTTAATAAATAAGTTTTTTTAACATATCATTTTCAAAAGTAATTAAACATATTTTACATCTTATACAATTTTTTTAACTTCCATCAATCACATCTGAAAAATTTCCAATCTATTCACTTAATATACATTTCTTACTTTCACTGTTACATTTAAATCTCATAACTAATTTATCTATTCTTTCTCTACTTTGCAATGTTTCATATATTCCTCCTTACAAAACTTATTGTAGTCCTATTAGCGTACAGTGGTACCTCGGGTTACATACGCTTCAGGTTACATACGCTTCAGGTTACAGACTCTGCTAACCCAGAAATAGTGCTTCAGGTTAAGAACTTTGCTTCAGGATAAGAACAGAAATAGTGCTCTGGAGACGCGGCGGCAGCAGGAGGTCCCATTAGCTAAAGTGGTGCTTCAGGTTAAGAACAGTTTCAGGTTAAGAACAGACCTCTGGAACGAATTAAGTACTTAACCCGAGGTACCACTGTAATTTGTTGGGCTGATATCAGATTTACAACATTGTGATGTACCACCAGCCAAACATCCTGATATAGTGATACACTGCGATGTTGAAAAGCGGAGGGAGGAACAAGCTGCATTGGGCCTAGCTCCATGAGGCACCAGAGTGAATCTGCCTCAGCTCTGTCAGCGGAGCAGCGGCTGTTTCACCCCGGCACCTCGCAGGGCCGAAGCCGATGCAGCTCGTTCTTGCATACACCAGGCCTCTGGCGGCGGAGAAAGTCCCTCTGCCAACAACGCTTGGCAGACTGAGGGAAGAACAAGCTGCATCGGCCCCAGCAGCTCGCTCCTCCCTCAGTTTGAGGGCCAAAGCGCAATGGGGCCCTCAACCAAGTACAATATGGCACAAATACAAGATGGGGGACACCTGGCTTGAGAGCAGTACATGTGAAAAGGATCTAGGAGTCTTGGTTGACCACAAACTTGACATGAGCCAACAGTGTGACGCGGCAGCCAAAAAAGCCAATGCAATTCTGGGCTGCATCAATAGGAGTATAGCATCTAGATCAAGGGAAGTAATAGTGCCACTGTATTCTGCTCTGGTCAGACCTCACCTGGAGTACTGTGTCCAGTTCTGGGCACCACAGTTCAAGAAGGACACTGACAAACTGGAACGTGTCCAGAGGAGGGCAACCAAAATGGTCAAAAGCCTGGAAACGATGCCTTATGAGGAACGGCTAAGGGAGCTGGGCATGTTTAGCCTGGAGAAGAGGAGGTTAAGGGGTGATATGATAGCCATGTTCAAATATATAAAAGGATGTCATATAGAGGAGGGAGACAGGTTGTTTTCTGCTGCTCCAGAGAAGCGGACACGGAGCAATGGATCCAAACTATAAGAAAGAAGATTCCACCTAAACATTAGGAAGAACTTCCTGACAGTAAGAGCTGTTCGACAGTGGAATTTGCTGCCAAGGAGTGTGGTGGAGTCTCCTTTCTTTGGAGGTCTTTAAGCAGAGGCTTGACAACCATATGTCAGGAGTGCTCTGATGGTGTTTCCTGCTTGGCAGGGGGTTGGACTCGATGGCCCTTGTGGTCTATTCCAACTCTATGATTCTATGATTCTAACCGGCGACGGTACAGCGTGGGTGAAGGTGCCATCACGCTCTTGCCCTCAAACTGGTCCTGGGCGATGTATCAATACAAAGTTTTTTTCTCTCATTTTGCCCAATTTCTTTGGCTAGGCCAAAAGAGAATGATTCTTCCATGCAGCAGAGCTCCAAGGACTCAAGCCTTGGGGACTTAAGAGACTCAAGCCTTAAGAGACCGTCTCAGGTGACCGTTACACATTCACTGCAGCAGTGCAGGGCCTACATTTCTGTAGCTTCATCTCTCAACGTTGCTCATGCTTAAAGCAGGGACAAGGAATCTCCAGACCATGAGCCAAATTTGGCTTGCTAGGCCCCCTTTGGCCCACGAGATTGTTTCCCCTAAACCACACCTGCCTGCCCGATACCTGTCATCCACTGATGTCCAGTGTTGGGTAGGTACCAACATGGCTACAAAGGAACGACTGAGCGTATGATGAGCTCCTTAGCAGGAGCAAGGTATGCTTGTAGAATTGCAAGGGATCACTAGGGTCATCTAGTCCAACCCCCTACAACGCAGGAATGTTTTGTCCGACATGGGGCTCGAAACCACAGCCCTGAGGTTAAGAGTCTCATGCTCGACCGATGGAGCTATCCGAGCAGTTTCCAGTTACACCAAGCGGTTTCAACAGAAAGCACTTGTCACTATGGGAACAGCAGAGCCAGGCAGGAGGTGGGGAGGACAGTGAGAAATATGGGAGGTTGGCGCTTGAAGGGCATCTTGCGCAGGGTCCCCATTAAAACCTAGCAATGCTCCTACAGGTATGTCGCTCACCTGATCCTCTAGTTCTGCCAGTTAACACGATGCAGACCAGAGAGAGGAGGACATCATTTTGATTCAGGCCCTTTGGGTCTCACTGACCTTTATTACTGCCGCTTAGCCATTCTTGTGCCGTCAGGGCTGGCTGGGCTCCAGCTGTCATCGGGTAGATGTCTTCCTGGTACGATTCAGACTGCAGAGAGATACCAGAGCACGCTGGCTTACGTCTGAGCAAGTGCCGCACCCCTCCCCCCCCCAGCCCTGTTTAGAAGCCACCCGGCGAAAGCCAGGAGAGATTCACTCACCCGACGCGGAACTATCATAGACACCGGCTCTATCAGGTACTTGGCTGGGATCAGTTTGTAGAATCGGAAGATCTCGCAGGAAGAAACATCCAGACCCCTCTTTGGCATGATACCTAAAGGCACGGGAAGCAGGGAGAAGTGTTATGGCAGTGTGAAACTAGACATGCACTGGCCAACACTGCTAATAAAACTGGCAATTACCACAATCCCGTTATGCAAATCTGTGGTGTGACTGCATTCGGAATACTGTGAACAGATCTTGTCGCCTGACCTCCAAAAGCTGGAAAAGGTTCAGAGAAGTGCAGCCAAAACGATCGAGGCACTGATAAAATTATCAATGGCCACTAGCCATAATGGTCATGTTCTGTCTCTACTGCGGGAGGCAGTAAGTTTCTGAATACAGTGGACGCTTGGGTTTGCAAATGTGATCGGTACGGGATGCATGTTCGCAGCCTGCAGCGGCGCGTCTGTGCATGCGCGGGTTGCGATTCGAGCTTCTGTGCATGCGCAAAGCGCAATTTAGTGCTTCTGCGCATGCGCAACCGCCGAAACCCGGAAGCAACCCGTTCCGGTGCTTCTGGGTTTTGGCGGGTCCGTAACCCAAAAAAACGCAACTTGGAGCGCCTGTAACCCGAGGTATGACTGTACCACTTGTGAGGAAGCAGAAGTGCAGAGCTCCATTTCTGCTTACAAGTTTCCCACAACATCTAGTTGGCCACTGCAAAAGCAGAATGCTGGACTAGATGGGCCACTGATCAAGGGAGGCACTTACAAGATCCTTAACATGGGACCTAAAACTCCAGCTGCTCCTCTTCCTCTACAAACATGCAGGGAGACTTGTAGAGGGGGAAAACAGAGAGGGTTGGCCTCTTACGTCTTTACCTCCCATCCAGCACTTACGACATTGTCTTTCTCCAACCATCACAGAACACGCTGCTTCGCTCTCTGTGCAATTTTTTCTCTCCCATCCAACTCCTCCTAAACGTTGTTGCCTCTGTCTCCAACCTGATGTGGGATCACCAGGGAGCAAGTTGGAAAACTCTCCTGTCTCTTTAACAGCCACTCTGTTTTTCTCTGCTGGTCTCACTGCCTCACCCTTCGTTTGCTTTGCGGCAAAATCTACAGTAGCAAGCGGGAAGTGACTTGCGTCAGGAAAAGCCCAGAGCTACTGTTGAGAAGTGTTGGGATGCAACTCAGCTTGCAGTGGAGGCTGATGTGTTTGCTTGGGGAAGCGTGGGAGGAAGATCCTGTTTTAGACTGTCCTTTCCAACCTACGTAATTGGTGCTGACCTTCTCTCAGGCATCGGACCTCTCAAGGTTGCTGATCTCATTTCCTAGGGCTTGTTGAATTTTTCAACTTCCAAATTCCAAAATGAGGGGTTCTGAAAAGTTGCAGCATGACTTGGGGATTCAAAAGATATTTTGGCTACGTGAATATAATTTTGAATCATAGAATTGTAGAGTTAGAAGGGAACCTGAGGATCATCTGTATTGCAGGAATATACAGCTGTCCCATTTGGGGATCGAACCTGCGACCTTGGCATTATCAGCACCATGCTCTAATCTACTGAGCTATTCAGTTTTGCTTGGGAAGTAAAACTGTGTAAAGCTGCATAAAAGGTAAAGGTAAAGGTACCCCTGCCCGTACGGGCCAGTCTTGACAGACTCTGGGGTTGTGCGCCCATCTCACTCAAGAGGCCGGGAGCCAGCGCTGTCCGGAGACACTTCCGGGTCACGTGGCCAGCGTGACAAGCTGCATCTGGCGAGCCAGAGCCGCACACGGAACGCCGTTTACCTTCCCGCTAGTAAGCGGTCCCTATTTATCTACTTGCACCCGGGGGTGCTTTCGAACCGCTAGGTTGGCAGGCGCTGGGACCGAATGACGGGAGCTCACCCCGCAGCGGGGATTCGAACCGCCGACCTTTCGATCGGCAAGTCCTAGGCGCTGAGGCTTTTACCCACAGCGCCAAATGACTAAGTACTTGTAGCTATTATTATTATTATTATTATTATTGGGCATTAAATGACATTTTCAGAAGGTAAAATTAAAAATTCTTTGGTTTTCCAAAAGCAGTTTTTGTGCTTCTTCACCAAACATAGACGTACCAAGCTAAATGTTGTCCGATCACAAAAAGAATAGCAGGTTTGAATTCCTCACACCCGAAAGCATATTTTTAAGACCCTCTCACTGAAGAAATTTGCAAAAATTAAATTCACCCCCTACCCTAAAATGACACACCCTGCTCATTTCCTCCTCCTTTGCTTTCTCCTTGAGAGAGGTGAGAGAAGAGGCTCCACCTTAGACACAGAGAACCAGGATCTTTTCTGTCAAACATGCATTTCCTGTAATAAAAGTAACTTTCTTATTTTCCTAAACTCAGAGTCTCCATGTAATTACACCCAGGGCAAAGTGTGCTCTTCCAACAGAGATTCAGTATTAACTTCTGCGGAGTGTTTTAACTAGAAAATGCCAACAGCTACAACCTCCTCCTCTGCAGCTGGGGGGCTGTTTAAAGAGACTGAGGATTCGGCTGGGCAATAATAATAATAATAATAATAATAATAATAATAATAATAATAATAATTTATTATTTATACGCCACCCATCTGGCTGGTCTTCCCCAGCCACTCTGGGCGGCTTCCAAAAAATTTATTAAAATACTCTAATACATCAAACATTAAAAGCTTCCCGAAACAGGGCTGCCTTCAGATGTCTTCTAAAAGTCTGGTAGTTGTTGTTCTCTTTGACATCTGGTGGGAGGGTGTTCCACAGGGAGGGCGCCACTACCGAGAAGGTAGCCAAGCCATCCCTCCCCTTTGCACCCCCAGAGAAGGAGGTCTGTTAGTTGGAACAGAAAACGGTCGCTCTATGGTGCAGTTGCATATTCAGATGGAAGCTTCATGTGTTTAAAGCCTAGTTAAAAGACACTGCTTCCCCCCCCTGGGAACTCTGCTGGGAATTGTAGCTTTGTGAAGAGCTAAACTACAGTTCCCAGGATTATTGGGGGGGGGGAGCCTTGCATGCTTTGTATGCTGCATACACAGCTAAAGAATGGAGGGGGGGGGGAGAAAAGAAAGGCCTCTTAGAATGGTATTTTTGAACAGCCTGAAGCAAAGCAATAGTTCTCTGATGAAATTCCCTCAGTGGCAAAAGGGAAGCGGCGAAAGGAAGAACCTCAGCCACGTTGCACAGCTGTGACAAAACTGAAGGGAAGGAGGAACAGACCGAGGCCCGTTATCTTCCCATGACCAGCTGCCTCTTGCCGTATCGGTTCTTCACGGACACCCCTTTATCGCACATCACCAGCAATGAAAACGGCTGCAAGCTCACCTATTCCTTTCTGGGGCAAAGGGGAGCGGTACTCCATCAGGTAATTGAGGTATGGCTTCTCCGAACTTATCTCGTAGTACCTGATGTTCCCGTCGCCCTAGAGATAATGGGAGAGACAAGAGGGCAGTGTTGTATCCAAGAGAAGGGCGTGCTTGGCTCCCGACACACCATTTGGGGGAAGACGTTTCATGGTCCCCAGCTAAAGAATCCTGCCACCGTTCTTAACTCGCTCAAATGCCCGTTCCACGTGGAGAGCGGTTTCAACGGCCAGGCATGGGAATCTAGTTATTGCACAAGTTTTATTTATAGTCTTGCCCACATACTTAAGACTCTGTAGCAAGGGCAAGGACTCACCTTGCCCAGCACATACAGCATGTGTGTGTCCGAGTCATAGAAAGGAAACAAGAGACCCGAGGAACCGTCCATATCCTCCTCTAGTAAAGGCACGGAAAGGTCACCCTGCATGAGGAAACCAGAAACCACAGCTATAAAGTGGCAAAACACAACAAGAACAACAAATGCAGTTCCAGAAGGATTTAGAGCAGGGGCCGCCAACCTCTTGGGGCCACTGGGCACATAGGGCGTTTGCACCAGTCACAAAATGGCTGCTGTGAGGGCCTGGCATAAAACAAAATGGCTGCCACATCTAAAAGAGCAGGGAAAGTGACACAAAATGGCGCAGGCATGCCATGCCCCGCATCAGCCACTGTTGTGCTCTCTCACAGAGAGAAGCTCTTTGCACATCTCTGTTCGTAATTGCTTTGATTTGTTTGTTTGCTTGCTTGCCGTCCATCTGGCTGGGTTGCCCCAGCCACTCTGGGTGGCTCCCAACCAAAAAAATAAAATACTAAAAGCACAATACAACATCACACACTAAAAGCTTCCCTGAACAGGGCTGCCTTCAGATGTCTTTTAAAAAGCACATAGCTGTTTATCTGTCTGATACTATATTTGAATGAGCTTTAAAGATTTAGCGTGTGCGCACGGCCTAAACAGCAGAGAGAGAGACAGAGCTGAAGTGTTGATCTGTGATGGACCCATTAGCGGGGCGAGTGCCTGAAGTGGTTTGCTGAGCAACTCACCTGATCCCATAGTGCAATTTGCCTGTTGTTCCACCTCGATGTCCCCGTGGAGAGCAGCTTTTTCATGTTTCCTAGAAACAAAACTTTATTCACTCTGTGAGACTTGTTGTTTGCTTCCTGCAAGAAGACACGGCGTGTTACTCAGAGGAAATCAAGCACACCAAATGCTGCTTCTTTCAGTGAAACTTATCCGCACCTGCCTATTGTCTGAAGTTTTGAAAACCCTCCACCAAAATTCACAGCATTCGCTTATCTCCCTGTACAGCTGATGCAGCAATACAGTGGTACCTCGGGTTACATACGCTTCAGGTTACATACGCTTCAGGTTACAGACTCCAGTAACCTAGAAATAGTACCTCGGGTTAAGAACTTTGCTTCAGGATGAGAACAGAAATTGTGCTCCGGTGGCGGCAGGAGGCCCCATTAGCTAAAGTGGTGCTTCAGGTTAAGAACAGTTTCTGGTTAAGAACGGACCTCTGGAACGAATTAAGTACTTAACCCGAGGTACCACTGTATATGATTTGGAAGCCATACCAGACTAATTTAAGGTAGACTGTCAAGGCAGGGCTTGTCAGGCCTCTTGGGGAACGCTAGTTTGCTCCTGGGGAACAAACTGATGAATCACCTGAGCTAGAAAACTACATAGAGGACTGTCCTCTTAAAGGCTTCTCTTGCAGGACCCTGTTGCGTACTCCACTTAAATCAGCAGCGTGTACCACAGGCCTTGGGACACAGAAACACTTCACAGGAGCAATGAAGAGAATAACTGGGAATCGGGATCCCGGGTAGATAAGTGACAGGGGCAAGCCAGCAGTAAATCACACCCTGCCTGTTGAAGTTAACTCTTTATTAGCAAGAATAGGATCTGCACAGACTTGGCTGAGCGTCAAGCCTAATGAGCGCAGCAGCTCATCCCCAGTAGTTCTTGCCCCATGGATCAATTGCCCAGACTCCCCACAGCCATCTATGTCTCCTTTCCAGGTTTCCCTCCCCCAAACAATCGGAGACTGCACCTGCATGCCTTGTTCTTCCCACTTCATGCCTCCTCTGGTTCTGGGAGAGCAGGGAGGAGCCTAGCTTGTTGCAGCACAAGGGGAAGACATCCTTGCTTCTTCCCCAGCTTGACTGATCTCTGCCTCTTGGCCTCCCACTCACCAGCTTCCACTTCTGATTCTGGACTTCTCTCAGCCACAGACTGTCTTAGCACACTAAGCCCTGTTATGCCTTTAGCTTCTGACACCAGCTCTTCCCAATCTTCTCCCTCTGATCACTCATCATCGTCCCACCACTCCCTAAGCTCTGAGCCTTCTACCCTGTGTGGTTCCCTCCCACTATTCCTGTGAGTCCAACCGGTCCAGGACAATGCATCAGGCTGGACGCTGGATAATGAGGGGGGGTACCATATTTTTCACTCCATAAGGCGCACCTAACCACAAGGCGCACCTACTTTTTTGGGGGTTGGGGGGGGAATTCAAGAAAAAAAATATATGCGGCTCTTGGGGGCTTTTGCGGGAGGTGGGGGAAGTGTGAGAGCCTCGCTCTGTCCCTTCCTCCACCTCCCACAAAAGCCAGGGATAGCCGCACAAAGGCTCCCCGCTGCCCTGCGGAGGCTTTGCGGGCTACCGCAGAAGCGCTTTCCCCCACCGCCAGCCCCAAAGAACAGGTCAGGGCTGGCAGGAGAAGCCCGGGTCCCCCACCCCAGCCCCAGGGACCACACATTCACTCCATAAGACGCACAGACGTTTCCCCTTAGATTTTAAGAGGGGAAAAGTGTGTCTTATGGAGCGAAAAATGCGGTACTTTAGAAATGAACTGAATGGCCTATGACTGACTTCTGCCTCCCTCAAAATGTGGTGATTATGGTGCAAAATAACGGGTGTAGCCCCAAGGCGGCCTTCGGGGAGGGACATTGGGCCCATCAACCCATCTAAGCTTGATTGACGCTCCCCACCTGAAAGATAAGGTAACTGCAAGCAGTCAAGTGACGATCTTAATGTCATGGACGGCAGCCGAGTCACCTTCCCACTGCTCAACTGCCTATATCAAGCTAGGTGGACGGCCCATCCGATGTGAAAAAGAGTTGTGATTCAAATTCAGAATCAATTCATCATTATTCAGGAGCAGGGAAAGCTAACTTTGAAAGTGCTGCCTAGCTGCAGAACAGAATAAGGCTGTAAATGACAGCAGCTCTGGTTTGGGCCCTCAGATGTAAACCTGGTGTAGGATCTAAGCTAGACCTTCTGCTCTAACCCTGTTGTTTCAGAGAAAGATGCACCCCACCTTCTGGCCTGCAGACCTATCCTTCTCCTGTGCACAAGAGAGAACATCCTTTTAGCCATCTAAAACTAACAGCAAGCGGTCTTCCCGCGTGGCGCTATCTCGCCAGCCCTGCATACCTGTAGGACAGTTCCTGCTCGTGGGTCAATGACCCTTATTTTCCTGTCCCTGCAGGCCGTGGCCAAGAGGCTCCCGTCTGTGTTGAACGACATGGAAAGAATGACGTCCGTGTGGAAGTGGATTGTCTTCACCGGGGTCTGAATTACAGACTCTTTGGTGTCAAGGTTCCAGATCATGATCTGAAGGCAAAGAGAGGTGCGTTCGTGAATGTTTCCTGAGCTCCCCACCCACAGTGCAGACAATGCACAAAAAGAACAATGACTACTCCCAACACTATGCAACTTGGACAAATTGCACACAGCACATTTCCATGATTTTCCCTGTTTGACTGGGCAAAATTATGCAGCTTCTGCTAGCCACGGGGAAGGAGAGGCGGCTGCTTGGGTGCAAATGCTCCAGCCCCTGAACACTGAAAACTATATCCAGCAATGAATCTGGCTTGTGAAGTTTCAGGAGACATCACCACCCACTTTTACTTCATTCCTTTGCAACCATTAAGGACTAGAAAATCCCAATTTGTTGCTGGCTTTGATGAAAATTGAGGTTCTTATTTGACACGGATAGTTCAGCTGGTTAGAGCGTGGGGCTGATAATGCCAAGGTTGCAGGTTTGATCTTTATAAGGGACAGCTGCATGTTCGTGCATGGCAGGGATTGGACTAGAATCACTAGATGATCCTCAGGGTCCCTTCCAACTCTACAATTCCGCGCCTGAATTCTGCAACCAATACCATATTCTGTGGTCTTGCAGAACTGTGGCATATTTATTTGCAATTCGGGCTTATATGGTGCTTTGCACAAACAACAACAACATGCCACCTCCCTACACACAAACACACACACACACACACACACACACACACATAATCTAAAGAAACAAGTTGTGGGAACATCCTGCTAGGCAATTCTGGGCCGGCTTATCCATCCCCCCCCCCACATTTTTACCCCTCTCTTGCTTTGTGTTCCATATGCATGCTGGGAATAGACTGTGGCCACCATGTTTTGGAAGGCAGGAAGTAACTATAAGGCAAAATCCTTTAGTTTGGCAGAAGGTTAAATCCTCTCATTCATTTCACACACCTCAGATACTCTGCCCAAGACCCCCCATGGAAGCAGAACAGAACAACAGCATGTTGATGCTTGAAATGAAGGTTAACAAGACCCTGACTCACTTTGTAATCATAGCCGGTGCTGAAAAGGATGTTGCTCGCAGTTGGGTGCCATTCGATGAGTCCCACCCTTCGCGAATGACCAAGAAGCTCCTTCTGTGCATCTGTGATGTTTGTTGTGAGTAAGTGGTGAGGAATGTTCCAGACTTTAACCTAAGAGACACAGTAGTGCAGAGACTTTAAGCCGGCTCCGTTAATCAACACCTGCCATTAGCAGCAGCAATCAGGACTAATAAGTCTTAATCAGTAGTTGAGGGTAAAGGAATGTGGGATGGAGAGATGGTTTGCAGGGGGTGGCAGAGGGGCAGGATCAACGCGCACCCAGTGCATATCCAACTCTCACAGTCTAGGTAGGAATCCATCCTGTCCCTTGGGTTTCCTCCATGTGGGCCACCAAGTGTCTGTGCACAAACAAAGGTAACATCAAGTCAAGAGAGATGTTCCACCTTCACAGTGAGAGTTGTGCTTTCCATTGCCCCCCCCCAAAAAGGGGGGAAGAGTATCTGATCTGTCTCACTTCCTGCATTGCCGCTTTAGGGTGGAAGCGCCAAACCAGGACCTTAAGAAGTGCCCCACTCAACTGAAGTGTTTATTTGCATTTCTCACCCTGCCTCCAAAGAATGGCATTTCTGGCCTCGCAACAACCTTATGAACTCAGTCAAGTTAAACCTGGCTCTAACATCCAAACCTACTGCTCCAACAACAGTATCTCCTAGTTACTTTATCAGCTGTCCCTTGGAGCCTTCCTAGCAAATGATGAGGCCTTTAGAACTAGTGTAAACATGTTGCTGCCCAGTCTCCATCATCATCAAAAACACCTTGATGCCTTATGTGCTCCTACCTCTCTCTTGAATTCTGAATCACTAACCAGTGTTAAGCTCGCACCAGCATTTTCAGTGTGGTTACATCCACTCTACAGTAGGCAACCACAACCGGAAACATATTTGCAGGCTTTGGTTTGAGCTGACCATCTTTAGGGGGACGCGGGTGGCGCTGTGGGTTAAACCACAGAGCCTAGGACTTGCTGATCAAAAGGCCGGCAGTTCGAATCCCCGTGACGGGGTGAGCTCCCGTTGCTTGGTCCCTGCTCCTGCCAACCTAGCAGTTCAAAAGCACACCAGTGCAAGTAGATAAATAGGTACTGCTCCGGCAGGAAGATAAACGGCGTTTCCGTGTGCTGCTCTGGTTCACCAGAAGCGGCTTAGTCATGCTGGCCACATGACCTGGAAGCTGTACGCTGGCTCCCTCGGCCAATAAAGCGAGATGAGCGCCGCAACCCCAGAGTCGGCCACGACTGGACCTAATGGTCAGGGGTCCCTTTACCTTTAACCATGGTTAGAATAGTGCTGACTTAACACTAATTATAGCTATGAAAGGAAAGGGGGTGAGCCTATGGGATAATCTCGATCTTCTAACCATAGTTAGGAAACTGGGCAGCCTTCTGTCTGCACATGACAGGGGTTATATCGCTCCAGAGGTTCCCAAAACTTACAGTGGTATCTTCAGAGCACGAGGCTATTACAAAGTCATCAAAAGGGTTCCACTTAATGTCTAAAACATTCCCTTTGTGCCCACAGATGCGAGGGTAATGCGGGTCGAGTTTTCCTGTCTGGAAACAAACGGAAAGATTTAGTTCCCAAACTGCAACGTCTCTGATAAGGCCTGTCAATCGACACAAAGCACAACAGAACTCTCCAGTGTGTCTTGTCCTTCATGGTTTTATCTTGACCCCTTAATGTATCTGTCTCTTGGAGCCATACCCATATTAAACCACCAGTATCAACAGTTTCCATAATTTGCTTGTGTTCCCTTTTGAAGGGTTTGGATACAAACTACAAAGACTAGGGACTCCTCCAGATGAAGTGTTTATTGAGCAGCCATCCTGAGTCGCTTGCACAGAGTTCTGTGGAAATTAGACTCATCCAGTCTTTATTGACCATTCATTCTGATTTGCTTGTGTGGGGTGTTTATACGTCTTCCTGTGAATCATGTATTCATCCCACACTTTTCATTGAATTTCTCTGTCACTTTCCTAACTGCAAAAAGTCTGCTGCTGCTTTTTTTTTTTCCTTTCAAAAAGCGGATTCTTGTACTAGGGTGACAGAGTGCACTGATCCACGCTGATTCTGTAATCCTAAATTTCTTGTATGCACTTGAATCCTTCCCACAAAATACTGATAATCTGGAAACAATCCAGTAGGGAAGGACTGAAAACAAAACACATACAAATTTAGGGTGAAGAAAAACATATTTTAGAGCAGCCAAGCCAGTCTGAGAATGCCCATATGTTTAATACAGACACATATGTTTTTCTCTCCTAAGGCAAGCTTTCTGCCAGTTTCCAGCATAGTTGATTTGAAATATAGCTGTGGATGGTGCCTATTGGCTAGTTTCTGTGATGACACAAATGTCACCCCCCCCCAATTCCTGATTTACTTTCACAACTTTATTTTGAACATTTGAGGTTTGTTTGGGGGGTTTTGGATGGTGAAGGATGGACATTTAAATGAATTACCATGCATGTGTGGCTTAGGGGAAAAGACAGACCTGATGTATGAAGGAAGAGGAAAAATGATGACAAATTCAGCATGGAACCAGCTGGAATATATTCTGCAATGGGTAGGTTGCAAAGCTAGACTCCCAATGCAGATTAAGAACCTGCAATAACTGCATCTTACATGTGTTTTCAAATACTACCCAGAAACAGCAAAGGAGAGAGGCTCTTGCACAGGAGTTTCCTTCATCTCAAGCAATATGAATGTGGTTGTGATGTGCAACCCTGCTTGCAACACACACTGAGGATGGGAAGCATATTTCCATTTGCATTGCAACATAGATAGGAAATGCAAATTTCCAACGGCTGTTGTGGGCTGGGTATACGCTTTTGCTGTGCCTCTGTCTGGACTGGAGTCTTAAAATGGCCTCTTAACCTTACAGAGAGCGGAGCTAAAATACATTTTTCTCATTGTATATATTTTCACCACAAGGGGTCTGTAGTAGACAGGTGTTTTGAGGGGCACTGTAAAGGTTAGAGAGGATTATTATACTAAATATGTAAGTAAGATTCTGTTGTTGTAGATCATGGTCCTTTGGATTATAACATATATCTATTACATAAAGGAAGCACAGGTGATGTGTGGCTGTTTGGAGGACCAAGATAATAGTACACTCACTTTCGGCCAAACCGCCACTGTTGTACAGCCCTCAAAAGGTTTTCCACAGGGTGAAAAATGGTTAGCAAACCCTGTCTTAAAGGGGCAATAACCAATTAAAAGTACTTTTGGAGAACATCTAAAGAGCTATTATAGTTGCGTGAAAACGTGAGCAGGGTTTGAAATATGAGCAAGGGAAGAAACACATTAAGGTTAATCACTTAGGATGTACATATGGAATGTTATAAGTTAAATTATGCAACGTTAAAGGATAAACATAGAACCCCATGGAGAGGGGGATGGGAAGTCAATGGATAAATTAAAGGTATTATTGATGGCAAAGTATGAACACTTTTGAAAACAAAATACATCTTTTTTTAATAAGATGTTTATTAAGGTTTCAACATATTACAAAAATAAGAGAAAAAAGTAAAAGAAAAGAAAAAACGAAAATAAAAATACAAGGTAAAAAAACAGTTAAAAACAAGTCAGTCTTTCCATATCTTATCTTTCATTTGCTTGTTTCCCTGACCTCCTCACACCTCCCTTTTTTGTATTCCAGTTCAATTAGTTAATTCAGCAATTCCTTTCCCTCTTTGATTTTATCTTAATCTTTTATCTTAATATATTATAACTTTAGACTATCACCTGTTAACAATCCATTTTTACATATTCCTTTATAACATTGCTGCTAAAAACCACTTAACTTCAATCCAACATCATCAACAAACAAAATACATCTTTTTTTAAAGAGTGCTTTTTGGAATAGTCATTCAGTCCAATCACCCTGTGAATGTGTTGTCCAAAACCAACCCCAGAATTACATACATTTACAAAAGGAAGCATTCGTGACTTTATCCTGGATGACGACCTTTTGGATCATCCTGTAGCTCTATCAGCACCATCTTTAGCACAAGAATTGGTGGCAAGTGGTTTAGGTCCTCAGTCTGGCCCCCAGCAGAGCCTCAGATCCCAGGGACCCTCGCCTAAAAATATGGCTTTCTCTTATGAAAACCAATAAATCTGCAAAGGGCTCACCAGGCAACTCAGGATGAGTGGGAAAGGCAAAAGGGCTCTTTAAGCCCCCTTCAACCTGCAACAGCAAGCTCTTCCAGAGTCCTGGTGTTTGTATGGGCAGGGAGGAGGTCCCAGACAATTCTTGTGCAACTCAGCAGTGCGTTAGCCGCAAGCAAAACGAACCCATGCAGTGCAAAAGGAGTTTATGTGGGGTTTCTGTGCATGTGTGTAAATGAGCCCTTTGCCCTAGCTCCCAGTTCATGAGAGAGTCAGTAGATAGAGCCAATACTGTTGGCCTTTCAATCCCTTTGGTTTTCAAGTGCCACGGGCAACACTGGCCTCTGTCCCTCTTTCTTTCCTTCCCTCCCTCTTCTGATGCCCTCTCACATATCTGCCTCCCAAAGGCTCACACAGCTGTTTATTGCAGCAGCCCTGGCTACAAGCTCCGCAGACGAATGGTGCTTCTGGGGCTGGCCGGGGGGGGGGTGCTTCCCAGCCCCCTGTGGGGCAGTGTGAGGAAGCACCTCTCTTTGGGGCAGGGGGGGCAGCTCACAGACCAGGGGTGGCAGCTATGGCTGCCCAGAGGACTCCCAAGGAGTGGGGAGAGGAGGTTGAGGGAACACTCCACAAGGGAGGGTGTTTGAAAAAGGGGTGCCAGCTCTGCAGGCAAGGGGTGACATTACTGGGCTCCTGAGCCCCACAGGGTTGTCACAAGAGAGCTGTGGGCTCAAAGAGGTTGAAAACCTCTGCTTTACTCCATTCAAAATATGCTCCTCTGTTAAAATGAATGGGCCATTTGGGCTTTAGGAGGTTCCATTGCCCACCGAGACGTACAAACGCACGAAACCAGCTACACCTGTCAGTGAGGTGGTCCTTACCTGATTTACTGGTATGACAATAAAGGCTCCTCCGCCGGCACATTCTGTCACAACAGCAACGAAATGCGGGTTCACAGCGCAGAAGTGATTGTCGTGAACACTGCGGGTGATAGGCACACAGTCGTAGCACTTCTCCTTACTGGCTGCCTTGCCGTAAACATGGCGGAATTTTGAACTCCGGTACTGAGGGGACCATGACATCTGCAATGAACACAGAGAACGGAACCGTGAAGCCACCAGACCGTTTGAGATTTCAGATTCAAATGAGGACACTCTTGTACAGTGATACCTCGGGTTACATACACTTCAGGTTACATACGCTTCAGGTTACACACTCCGCAAACCCAGAAATAGTGCTTCAGGTTAAGAACTTTGCTTCAGGATAAGAACAGAAATCGGGCTCCGGCGGCGTGGCGGCAACAGGAGGCCCCATTAGCTAAAGTGGTGCTTCAGGTTAAGAACAGTTTCAGGTTAAGAACAGACCTCCGGAACGAATTAAGTACTTAACCCGAGGTACCACTGTATATGTAAGGTAAAAGGTAAAGGGCCCCTGGATGGTTAAGTCTAGTCAAAGGCGACTCTGGGGTTGAGGCGCTCATCTTGCTTCAGGCCAAGAGAGCCGGCGTTTGTCCACAGACAGCTTTCCGGATCATGTGGCCAGCATGACTAAACTGCTTCTGGCGCAACGGGACACTGTGACGGAAACCAGAGTGCACGGAAAAGCCGTTTACCTTGCTGCCGCAGTGGTAACTATTTATCTACTTGCACTGGTGTGCTTTCGAACTGCTAGTATGTATATGCATTTATATGCATCCCAGCAAACTCTTGGTGAATTGGGCGCTTCCCCTGCATGCAAAGACAAGCTCCAGTGGATTGAACAGATGAGACTAATGGTGGGTCCAACAGTCAAGAAGGTGGTTTCTGCACGAGCTGTAGAGGAAAGTGAGGGGCAGGTGGGGCTTGTCAACCTGAGAAAGCAGCCCATCTAGGAGAAGGAAAACTCTCAAACGAAACCTCCACCGCCTTGTGGGCTATCGGGGGAAGAAAAGGCTAAGGAGTAAACCATGGGTAGGCCAACTAAGGCCTGGGGGTCGGATCTGGCCCAATCACCTTCTAAAACCGGTCCGCAGACGGTCCAGGAATCAGCATGTTTTACATGAGCAGAATGTGCCCTTTTATTTAAAATGCATCTCTGGGTTATTTGTGGGGCATAGGAATTCGTTCCATTTTTCTTTTCAAAATATAATCCGGCCCCCTGAAATTATATGGCTTCAGTAGAAATGTTATAAGGAATTAAGTATAAATAGATAAATAGAGTATTAAAGGAAAATAAGGTTAAAAGGTGTTAAGATAATTATAGGATAGAAAACAGGGGAAGATGGTAAGGAACTGCTGAAATAATTAATAGAAGTGGAATACAAAAAGGGAGGTGTGAGGAGGCCGTGGAAATATGAGAAAGAAAGATAAGATATTGGAAGTTTTTTCTTTTTTCTTCTTCTTTTTTCTTTTGATGTGTTTTTAAAGTGTTTTTTTGTTTTGTTAATTTTACGTAGTGTTTTTCTATTATAATGTATTGTTTTTTTCTTTGTTTTTTCTTTTGTAAGTGTTTAAATTGTTGTAAAAGTAATAAATATTATTATAAAAACAAAAACAAAATATAATCCGGCCCCCGACAAGGTCTGGAGGACAGTGGACCGGCCCCCTGCTGAAAAAGTTTGCTGACCCCTGGAGTAAATCCTACACAAATCCAGAGTGGAGTCCCTAAGACACTTGGGTGGTGCCCTGTAGGCCTCTTTCTTGCAATCCCTGCAGCTAAGCCAGTGCCAAGCGTATTGCTCTGCTTTCCTTTAGACCAAATCAGTGAGGCTGAGAGGTCTTGTCGTCTCGGCAGCCCAGGACCTCCAGACACACTGCCAAGGCTTGCGCCCCAGGGAGGTCACTTCAGTGCCGCTAACACAGTGGTTTGACTTCACTCCATTGTCTCTTGAGACCGACGGATGCCAGCAATATAATATGTATACATGGGAATTCCTTGTAGATGACTGAAAAGAGTAAGTCAGGTTGTGTACCCACAGCAATGCCCGAGAGGGAATGACTGCTGGGAGGAGTGCAGAAAGAAGCAATACCATGGTACACCTGCAAGAGCACAGCCGGACACCTACAACTGCCCCACCTGCAACAAAACATGTCTCTCCTGTATTGGTCTCTACAGCCACAGCAGGCACTGTAGCTCCCCGGTGGTTTGACTTCCTGTGGTTTGACTCTTCCACTGTCTCCCGAGACAGACGGATGCCTATTCTTACATCAGTTATCACTGCCTGTCTGTCTCACACACTCACATTCTGACACACTGTTGAACATTCTTCCCTGATTACTGTATCCATTTATCCTGTCTACCCTGTTGTTGTGTTGTTGTTTAGTCGTTTAGTCGTGTCCAACTCTTCGTGACCCCATGGACCAGAGCACGCCAGGCACTCCTGTCTTCCACTGCCTCCTGCAGTTTGGTCAAATGCATGCTGGTAGCTTCGAGAACACTGTCCAGCCATCTCGTCCTCTGTCGTCCCCTTCTCCTTGTGCCCTCCATCTTTCCCAACATCAGGGTCTTTTCCAGGGAGTCTTCTCTTCTCATGAGGTGGACAAAGTATTGGAGTCTCAGCTTCAGGATCTGTCCTTCCAGTGAGCACGCAGGGCTGATTTCCTTAAGAATGGAGAGGTTTGATCTTCTTGCAGTCCACGGGACTCTCAAGAGTCTTCTCCAGCACCATAATTCAAAAGCATCAATTCTTCGGCGATCAGCCTTCTTTACGGTCCAGCTCTCACTCCCATACATCACTACTGGGAAAACCATAGCTTTAACTATACGGACCTTTGTTGGCAAGGTGAGTTGGCTTTTTAAGCAGTTGTGTTAAACTGAGGTTGCAATCCAGTGCATTCTTACTTGAGTGTAAGCCAAACTGAACACAATGGAAATTCTTCCAAAGGACTTTCCCCCAACTTTCATAGGCTAGATTTCCTATTTGTTTATTTATTTTTTAAATTAGAAATGTTTGATAGAACGTTTATTCCCACAATGGATCTGGATTACAGAATAGCTGCAACTCAGATGCAGCAACATTTGCTTTCTGGATAGGCAGTTACAGGGAGGGGGATACAGAAGGGAAGTTAATGAATACCAGGGCACATGTATGTATTGCATGTCAAAAATGCCCCTCAAAAATTCCCCCTAAAGGAAAGCAGGGGCAGTGATTAAGGATAGATACCAGAAAACAGTCTGATTAGCCAACTCTCCCTAGTTAATAAAGACAATTAGAGCACATGTACCAAACTAAATTAGCAGGGCAAAGGGGAACAGTGATCTGAGGCAGAAAATTTTCCATTTCATAAGTTCATTAGTAACAATGAATTCCAATTACAAATAAAGTATTAGGTCGGCTTGGCAGTTTCAAAGCTTTTAGCTCTGGTTGCTAAAACAATCATGCTAAATTAGATCATTCTCCAGGACATCAAATAATTTCCCAATGCAAATTACCCTAAATTTTTCCAATTCTATTTTTTTTTAGAAAACCCACATCACCATTGAGGAGACAGGCATACTATTAAACTCTTTCAATAGTGGCCCCCCAAAACCAGCTTCCTTTTGGCTTCACAATCAGAATAAGATGGAAATGCCAGCAGACCTTATTCTCTTATCATCGGTCATTGCAGTGATTTTTTTTTTAAAAAAAAACTTTAAAAAGCTCAAAACTGCTCTTGGGATTGGAGAAGAAGAGGCTTCTTGATGACATGATGGGTGCCTGCCAATCAGAGCTTCTGCTGTCAGTTTGCAGAATTGTGGTTCCCACCCATCTCCCTTCAGGACTTGACCTTGAACAGAAAAAATCCTTTTGCGCTGAATGTAGCAAGGGCACTTCCAAACTGACTTAGCTCATTTAGGATCAGTTTCATGGGATGCTGCTACAATGGGATGCCGCTGCTGTCGAATGCATTCTTCGTCACTCCCCCACCCACCCCCCTCAAATAATGCAAACATTAAAAGAGAGTAGAAAAAACCAAAATACAGCCATGAACTACCAAGCCATATGCAGCCCACCAGTCACATATTATGGCCTGCCAGGTGTGTGTGACAACTCCTTCCCGCTTTCATTCTAAACAGCAGGTTTATCAGGCTCCTGGTGAGCCACCATACATTCACAGCAAGCTATGAAGATTTGCCCCAACATTAAACCTTAAAACAACAACATTACTGGCGCATAAAATAACCCAGGAAAGAACTGCATTTAATGCTAACCCAACGGCCCCCAAAGCCTGGCAAAGCAGGAAGCTTTTACTAGACTTCTCAAAGACCCAACAGAATGGACTCGTCGACAGTCCCGTCCCCATTCCAGTTGGAAATTTTGGAAGAAGGTGCCATGACCAAAAAGTCCCTCTCCTTGCAGTCTCTCACTTTACCACTCATAGTGAGTTTTCTGGAGCAGAAGACTCACTTGATGAACTGAGCATATGGAGCTGTTAAGAAGGTTTTATGGCAGTTTTTCTCAACCTCGAGTCCCTAGCTGTTGTTGGACTACAACTCCCATCATCCCTGTCCGCTGGTCCTGCTAGTGGGGAGCAGGAAGAGGATGTTAGCCATGGTGTAGCCATGACTGGGACCCACCAGGGCAAGCCGGGTATGGGAAGGGTGAGGTTGGGGTTGTGGGAAGTATTAATGGGGTGACAGAGGTAGGCAAGGAGGTGGGGGTCAGTGTGCAGCGGCCAGAGGAACAATACCCTTCATCAAAGCCAGAGGACTCCCCCATCTCCACAAACAAGGTGGGCCCTGAAGCATAGGAGCGGCGGGAGGTACGCTTTGGGAGCCTGAGACAGGCAAGGACACACAGCCCAGCTCACTAGCTGGCGAGGAGGGGCTCATTGGTCATAATAATAGTAATAATAATAATAATAATAATAATTTTTTATTATTTATACCCCACCCATCTGGCTGGGTTTCCCCAGCCACTATGGGCAGCTTCCAACTGAATATTAAAAACAATACAGCATCAGACATTAAAAACTTCCCTAAACAGGGCCGCCTTCAGTTGTCTTTTAAAAGTTGTTTATTGCCTTGACATCTGCTGGGAGGGCGTTCCACAGGGCAGGCGCCACCACCGAGAAGGCCCTCTGCCTGGTTCTCTGTAACCTCACTTCTCCCAGCAAGGGAACCA